AATTCTAAAAATGTAGAAAACTTCACGTTTTTTATCGCGTGCTTGATACATCTCTTTAGAAACATTTAAAAATCCGATTGCGCGATTAGAGGAAAATCTCGCTTGAATCCTACAGGATAAATTTAAAAATTAGATAAAGAGAAGTCGTTGATCGAGTTCAATTGTTAATGCGCGAATGGAAAGCTTTCTTTTGAAAACGATCGATGCTCTGATACGAAGTAATTAGTTATTTCGTTCGATGAGTCGTTCCAACTATAACTTACGCAATTTACTCAAAGTTGGAAAGTCCCTTTGGGATCTCCGTAATTATTTGGTGTTACTTCTGAAGCAAAACTACACGCAGACTTTTCCCCGAGCGACTCGTTTGTCCGTCGAACTAATAATCGTTTGGAAGTTTGCAATCGATTTACCATTTAATCGACTTTCAGATTAACGTTCCTAACTTTATATTTCAGAAATAGACATTTTAAAATATTAATCTAAAAATTTTATAAAATGATAAAAAATACATACATGTATATGTATAAAATCAAAATGCTGATGATATATCAGAAAAAAATGCATGACGCAAATGTTGCGTAGTTGATTATCCAGTTGCTTGAACAATAGCTTTGTCAATGACTCTGACGTCATAATAATCTCTAAGGGTTAAAAGGATGCTATTTTTTAATATTGCCTTGAATTTAGCCTTGAAATTCTTTCCTGTTTCCATTATCTTCCGTCGTGCCAAATCATATTGTATCTCTTATTTACAATAAAGATGTTATGTCACTTTAAATATTAAAATGTGCAAGTATGTTTTACGATATTTTATTTATCACTATATTTATTATACTGGGTCTTTGCTACGCATGCTGCGCTTGCTTCGAACATTTTATATGTTACGTATCACAATTCGTGTCCTCATTGAAAATAAACAAATAGAGGATAGACAAAATAATGTGAATATATGAAAATTAAATATTATATTTGTTTATTAATAATATATTGAGCCACCATTTGTCTTTAATACAGCTTCAATTCTCCTTGGAATAGAATTATATAATTTTTGAGTAGTCTCTAGTTGAATATTGTCCCATTCTTCTTTTAAATAATGTCATTTTTTCAAGATGGTAATGCATCCATACACATAGAAAAATACGCTAGAAAAATTCAATCTTGATTTAAACAGCATCAAAATGAACTTCAATATCTTCTCTGGCCAGCATAATTACCCGATTTAAATATCATCGAATCATTATGAGCAGTTTTGGGAAAGAGATTGAGAAGCAGATTTCTTCCTCCAATATCTCTAAAGCAATTGACAGATATTTTGATAAAAGAATGGCACAATATTCCATTGGGGACTATTTAAAAATTGCATTTTCTATTTTATGAAGAAATGAAGCTGTAAAGACAAATGGTGACTCAATATTTTATTAATAAACATAAATATAAGGTATTTTTCAGGTGTTTAAATTATTTTATCTATCCCCCGTATTATTTGCATAACTCGTGACATGCAATTTAATTATTTCATTCAAATTAATGACGATAACTACGATAAACATGATCGTTTTGTAAATATATACATCTTCCCAAGCGTAAATTTTGTTAGTAAAATGAGTTTATGCCGCACGAATGTGAAAGTTGCTACGCCTACGAATGCCAGGACCAGCGAGAGCTCAGAGTTAATTAATGACGCAACGTAATTTCTTCCACATTCAAAAAATGATTTTATAAATATAGCAACAATTCTCTGCGAAAAATTAATTAAAGTGGATATATAAATGGTTATAAAATACTGTGATATCCCTCTTATGTTTTATATTTAATCAATCTATAAATGGTAGAATTTGTCTGAACAGTTAATGAAATTTGAAGAAAATGGCTTTTGTAACTCTCATGAAGAAACTAATCATATTTGTTGATCAATAATATTTGCATAAAGTTTAACTGTGGTACATAAAATCAATTCTCACAAAAATCGTTTTAGCTGGAGTATTGAAAGTTGATATTGAAACTCATATTTATTCAATGTAGTGATTAATATTTGGTAAAGGAATATATATATATATATATATATATATATATATATATATATATAGGGTGTTCCAAAAGTCCCGGACTGGTCAAATATTTCATAAACTATGCACTTTAGAAAGAAATGTTTCAGACAAAAGTTGTATGGCTTGAAGGGGGCCATCAGATAGTGGCAATGATTTGACATGGGAGAGTCATTTGAAAGTCACGTGAAGATCACCGTCAATTTCTTAAATGGAACTTCCTATTTTTTATTAAATATTCTGGTAGCTCACGAAAGCTCTGGTAGCTCGAGAGCTCCAAAATACTATAATTAAGTTTTTATTAAGTACTTTCCGAATTATGAGGTTTGAAATCATTTCTTAATTTTACATAAACCATAAAATATCTTGTAAAATATTCATTTTTCGATTATCTTACCTTAATACTTTTATGTACAAAATAATGAGAGGAATCAATTGGTGTAAAGAAAAAACATAGTTGTTTTTAAGAAAAAAATATGTAATTTGCAATTAACAATTACATATTTTTTTTTAAAACAACTATGTGTTTTCTTTACACCAATTTGATTCCTCTCTTGATTATTTTGTACATAAAAGTATTAAGGTAAGATAATCCAAAAATGAATATTTTACTAGATATTTTATGGTTTATGCAAAATTAAAAAATGATTTCAAGCCTCATAACTCGAAAAGTACTCAATGAAGAAATACTTTATTATAGTATTTTGAAAAGCTCTCGAGATAAACTACACGAATATGTAATAAAAAATAGGGGGTTCCATTTGAGAAATTGAAGGTGATCTTTACATCACCTTCAAATGACTCTCCAAGGTCAAATCACTGCCACTATCTGATGGTCCCCTTCAAGCCATACAACTTTTGTCTGGCAACATTTCTTTTTAAAGTGCAGTTTATGAAATATTCGACCGGTCCTGGACTTTTGGGACATCCTGTATATATTATAATATATAAATTTATCAGAAGATATTATTAGAATTTACTGCTATAAATTTCATATGTTACAAACAATATTCTAGCAGATGAAAAATAACGATAAATTTTTGTTGATTTATTTAGAGAGAGTAATTGAAAAAGAGACAGTGAGAGAGAGAGAGAGAGGGGGGGGGGGGAGATATCTACCTACATGATTAAAACATTTGTTTTAATGTAAATAAGGCGTGTGATACATACATATACGTCTTTCCCTTTTGGGTTGCAATTAATGCGAAAATCATTTTCATGCATTAAACTAATGAAGGTTGTATAATACATTATATATTTTTGTCACGATTCTGAGCCAATTGTAAGAAAGTCAGTCCGGAAACGGCGTCGCATCGTTTGAGGTGATTAAGGCTACCCCCTCATGCGAGGCGGAAAATGGAAATTAGCACGAATAATGGGGGAAGTTGAACCGTAAAGGGTTAATGGTTAAAAATATATCTCTAGGGGAAAACTACATCCTTTGGATCGTGTTTGATGAAAATGTCAGATTTTTAGGTACGCTTTCGCATCGTATAAAGCTTCTATACGCATTTATTTACGGTGTACGAGCAAACATATTCTGCAAACAGGATTAAAAGAGGATGCTGAAAAAAAAAGAATATGTAAAGTTGGAATAAAAAACACTTTGGCACTTTATAAGCATATCCCACACAGATTATATAATGTTGCTAGCGAAGAAAACAAATGAGTTGAGGGAAATATTGAAATGTTTCTCGATATTTTTGAAAAAAAAGAATTAATTCTTAATGTTTAAAATAATTGAAAGTGATAATTCTTAAAATAATTCTTAAAAAAGAGAAAGAATGAGAATAATAACTCTGAAATAAAATTGAGATTGAGATCGGTCATTTTAAATATTTATGTTATCTATTATAAAAAATAATGAAACCGACATATATATATATATATATATATATATATATATATATATATATATATTAAGAAAATAGTTAAAAAGCTATATAGCTATATATGCTATAAAATAAGCATGGAGTATAGGGCGAAGAAAATTTGCTAAAGAAACTTTAAGTTGAGAATATGGAAAAAATTATTGCGAAACTTAGATGTAGAAATGAAAAACACTGTAATAAATTTTTGGCGTGAACAGGAAAAGAATATTTATAGAATACGTCGAATAGAGTGTATGAATAGAGTGTAATCGAAACGTTAAAGTATTTAGCAACAAATTGTATGGAAATAAGAAATAGCACAAGAATGAATCAACTCTTTGGAGAGAAAAAAAGAGAGAGAATCAATTAAATAAAGAAAATTGTATAAGAGCAGGAAAAGATCAAAGAAAATCCAAAAAATACAATAGATTAAGGAGGAAATAAAATAAGTTTAAAGACATAATTTACAATCTTGTGCAATTATTACAAAAATTTAGTTATCAAATCAAATTATTAGATAAAGATTAATTAGAAATAGAAAGATATTGTTATATAAAATTTGTATTTTATATGTTCGACATTATTATACACTAAAAAAAGTAATGTTGAATTAACAACATCAGTATAATTGGAATTTAATTTATTAATTTAATAATATTATTAATTAAATCAATACATAGTGCATTAATTTGATTAGAAATGTTATTGAATTAATAAAATAAGTTCCAATTACACTGATGTTGTTGGTTAAACATTATTTTTTTTTCTTAGTATACTGTAAGCTGTAAGGTCTCTATAAAATTTCTTCCAAATCTAAGAAATAAACAAATATTAATCTATAATATATTTTTCCAATATACGTTGTAATGTTGAAGAGAAATTTGTAAATTTTATATCGACAAATTAAATATGATGCAAATATTAAACCATTTCCATGTTTTCTTTTTCATGTCATAAACAAATCGTTTACTTTTGCATTTAACGAATCAATCTATAAAATAAACTTATTAATAACTTTTACAATTTTTAAAGCGTGTTTTTAATCATATTACTTACAATTAATTGCATTCCTTTCTGTTTACAGACAGCAACTTTGTACTGGGAAATGCGCAGGTTCCGACGATCTATCCGATCGTCTATTGCTCCGATGGATTTTGCGAACTGACAGGATTCGCGCGAGCGCAAATCATGCAGAAGGGTTGCGCTTGCAAATTTCTCTACGGGCCGGAAACGAAGGAAGAAGAAAAGGCTATGATCGACAAGAGCCTCGAGAGCAAGACAGAATTGAAAATGGAAGTTGTCTTTTACAAGAAGAACGGTAAGTTTAAGATACATTTCGATGTTTTAGGCTGTAAGGAAAGTATTATTCACAAATGAAGAGCATATTATCAACAGAAAAACATTGTAGTATCATGCAGTTTTATGTAATATAGATAAAGAATGTAAACATGAAAAATATTCCGTCTCTAAAAATTCTTATTTTTTTTATATTGGGTTGTCCGGAAAGTTCGTGCGGATTTCTCAATAGATGTCGTTCAAAGGCGAATTTTACAAGTTTATGTCGATGTGATATGTCAAATGCTTTCGTGTTTTGATTAGTGACATTTCAACGCATACTTAGTGATATTAATTATCCCAATAAATTAAAAACTTTTTACTTGACATTAGTTTAGAGATGGAAGGAAATAACGTGTTTTTTCGATGCATAATGCTTTTTTATTTCCGTAAAGGAAAGAACGCGACACAAACTCGAAAAAAAATATGTGCCGTATACGGGGAAGATGCCGTAAGTGATCGCATGTGTCAGAAGTGGTTTGCTAAATTTCGTTCAGGAGAAATGAATATTGAAGATGCTCCTCGCTCTGGTCGGCCAGTCACCACTGATGTCGACCAAATAACAGCTTTAATCGATTCCGAGCGGCAGATCACAGTTCAGGAAATCGCAGCGAGGTTAAACATTGGCAAATCAACTGTTTCCGAACATTTAAACAAGCTCCAGATGGTAAAAAAGCTTGATGTTTGGGTGCCGCACGACTTAACTGAGAAAAATCGTATTGACCGCATTTCCATCAGCGATTTGCTATACAAACGCAATGAATACGATTCATTTTTAAAACGCATCATAACAGGCGACGAAAAGTGGATAATTTATAATAATGTCGAGCGTAAAAGGTCGTGGAGCAAGCGAGGTGAACCGCCATTAACCACTTCGAAGGCAGGCTTACATCCGAAAAAGGTAATGCTCTGCATTTGGTGGAATTGGAAGGGGATAGTATATTATGAGCTACTACCGGACAACGAAACCATCGATTCGGACAAGTACTGTTCACAGTTGGATAAATTGAAGATAGAAATCGCCAAAAAGTGTCCGGAATTGATCAATAGGAAAGGCGTCGTTTTTCATCATGATAACGCCAGACCTCATGCAAGTTTGCAGACTCGCCAAAAATTATTGGCGTTTGGCTGGGATGTTTTGCCTCATCCACCGTATTCCCCCGACATTGCACCCTCGGATTTTCATTTATTTCGGTCGCTACAAAACTCAATTAATGGTTTGAACTTTGCTTCTTTGCAACTCCTCAAAAACTACTTGGACAGCTTCTTTGCCGAAAAAACCCAAGACTTCTATGAGAGAGGAATTATGAAATTACCCGAAAGATGGAAAAGTATTGTGCAAAATAATGGTGCATATATCACAGAATGAAATAACTTTTAACAACAAAATTTTTTCATTCGAATTTTGCTTAAAAATCCGCACGGACTTTCCGGACAACCCAATATAAAAAAAAAGAATATAGTAGTCAAAATTCTTAGCTCTTATTTATATGATACAGCTTCTTTTAGAGACATATTCAATTTTTATCAAGGAAATTTGATAAAGAATTTAGGTTGACATCATACTGAGCCCAAATATATGATTGAAATGGAAGCTAAATTGTTTATTAAACTAGCTATATATGTAAATTTGTTCTCTTTTTGTGAAGTTATTTTTGAACATTTTACTTTGTTTTACATTTTATTTCCAAGATGCCGCAAATATGTCGACAATTTTTGTTATGAGTATGGTGAAGTGACTTTTTCATCTCGGAAACATGCAATTACTCCCTTAATCAAGATAGCATATCACCATTACTTCGGTTGTAAAATAGGAAACCAAGACAAGCCCTGGGTATTTTCTCTACTTCATGTGCAGTAGATTTTCATGGTTGGTTAGGAAAGAAAGTGCAATCAATGTTATTCTTATAATATGGCGAGAGACTAATCTCTCTCATATAAATAAATGTTATTTTTATATGGTATTTCCCTTAGAGAAAATATGGAGAAAAAATAAACCATAAATTATTCAAATATTTCAGTTACACGATCAATATATATAAAGACGACTTGTTTGTTTCTATCCCATCAAAATAATACAGCTTGGAGCCTGATAAAAACATGGAAATTAATCGGGAAATATCGCGAACTTTAATATTAAATTATCTTGCAAAAGTCACTAAATTAAATATTTTATTTTATTAAAACAATTGAATATTACATCTCAAAATCTAGATTTAATAAAAATATTGTAATGTCATATTTCTTTTAATAAAAATATTGTAATGCCATATTTTTTCTTCTCGTTCCAATTTCAATAAGAATTAACTAATTAAACAAAGGAAAGAGAAAATATATCAATTTTATTATAATTTTTATTTTTTTTTAAGTGAATCACTCTGAATATAAAAAATTTATCCAAAGAATATTTCGATATATCGAATATTTCGAATAAACCATAAATTATTCAAATATTTTAGTTACACAATCAATATACATAAAGACGACTTGTTTGTTTCTATCCCATCAAAATAGTACATCTTTGCCTGATAAAAACATGGAAATTAGTCGGGAAATATCGCAAACTTTAATATTAAATTATCTTGCAAAAGTCACTAAATTAAATATTTTATTTTATTAAAACAATTGAATATTACATCTCGAAATTTAGATCTAATAAAAATATTAATGTAACGTCATATTCTTTTTAATAAAATATTGTAATGTCATATTCTTTCTTCTCGTTCCAACTTCAATAAGAATTAACTAATTGACAAAGGAAAGAAAAAATATGTTAATTTTATTATAATTTATTTTTTTTATGTGAATTACTTTGAATATAAAAAATTTAACTAAAGAATATTTCGAGTATGATGAAGAAACATATCAATTTCTTAAGCGAATATTAAAAAGCCCGATATTTTTAAAGAAAACTCATCATTCAAAATTAAATGAAGTAATCTCGTGTCTGGGCGCCACTGGTATTTTTCACTTTTTTCTCGCAACGAGAAAAATCAGTCTACGTTAAAGTTAATCGGGACGCGCCTTCCGCAATGTACTTTGTATCATTACTTTGACCTTATTTATTTCTCCGATGATGGCTACTGACTTAATTGTTTCATTAGTCGCGCGTTTGCGTATAAATTAATTGTCGATTCACAAATTCTTTCGATATTATGCATTACGAAAAATGCATTTGCAATAATTTTTTTCAAAAATCAAATTATTTTCCGAACTACTGTTTATAAAAAGTCGTCTGTTTATAAAAATGTCTGTTTATAAAAAGTCATCTGTTTATAAAAATGCGTTATAAGCGTAAATAAGAGCTCCAAACATAAATCGGGTTCTGCAAAAAGAATGCCTCGCAAATAAAGGGTCAAAAGGAATGTGACGGGAATGAGAATCCTTTTCTATATGATGACATTCCTATTGTAGACCACATTGATGCGCACAATATTCGTAATAATTCCATTGTTCTGGGAAACATTTAATAAAACGATCTTTTTTCTATCGTATAATTACTATATTTTATATGTAAAAAATAGAAATATATTGTATAACAAATATTCCTTTTTTCCGCTTTTCCTGGTGCTTTCCGTAATTCTTCGAAAAGAGTATCTGAGAAGAATCCTTTTCTATATGATGACATTCCTATTGTAGACCACATTGATGCGCACAATATTCGTAATAATTCCATTGTTCTGGGAAACATTTAATAAAACGATCTTTTTTCTATCGTATAATTACTGTATTTTATATGTAAAAAATAGAAATATATTGTATAACAAATATTCCTTTTTTCCGCTTTTCCTGGTGCTTTCCGTAATTCTTCGAAAAGAATATCTGGCTTTAAAAAATAAAATGCAGAACATGGATTAAAAAATGGTCCGACTCATCCGTACTAATATTATTATTATATTATTTAAAATTAAAATTAAATATATATTTTATATAATATATTTTTTTAATATACATTTTTTCTTGCAGTCTAATTAGTGCGTTTCAGCTCTTATTTGACATTTTCATTACTTAAAAATGACAAACCTAGCAAAAAATGAAATTGATGTAATTCATAATTTTTTTCTTATTTTATTCTTTTTGTGCATGCGCGTATGTTACGCATAATATATAGGATACAAATATCAAAACTTATTATCTCTTTCGTTCTCATGTCAGTAGCGGAGCATTCATCGTTCCGCATCTCTACAGACATTTGTTCTAAAATTAACGACTGATCATATCATTTCGATTTTGCTTGCTTTCGATAAACGGTCCCTCTCGACTTGCAGGAAGTCCATTCGATTGCCTACTCGACATTGTTCCGATAAAAAACGAGAAAGGCGACGTCGTTCTGTTCCTGGCCTCGCACAAAGACATCACGCACACCAAGAATCTTCAGCTCTGTGAGTTGCACGATAGTGGTGAGTTCTAACCATGCTTCGCTGCTAAATAAATCGCAAGTGGATCGATTTTAATGAGGATGCGTTCTCACGATGCGTCGTGCCAAAATATACTCGACTCGAATTTGCATCGCAGGATGGGTAGGAATTTGGCCCTTTTCTTTCTCTCACAACGCCGTTTTAACGATTCACAACTTCGAGCACCGCGAACACGCAACACGCTGCACAAATTGTTATTGCAATATCGAAGTTTGTGGCCGAACGTCAATCAATGATTGAGTTGATGATATTGAAAAATTTATTCTTAATCTTGTTTAGGTTGCTACACAAGCCTCAAGATAGAACAATATTATACACATATTCGTAAATATATATGTATTGAGAGGGGAGGGAGGGGGGGGGTATTGAAAATTTTCGAAAACTTTAATCTCATCTTGAGTGAATCTTTATAGTAAAAAATCTCGTCTTGTAGTCTCATTTCGATTTTAATAACAATTTTTATCCAATTTAATAATTTGTTTAAAGTAATATTTATTGAACAATTGAGCAATTTGTTTAAAATAATAAAGATATATTTAAACTAATACATTGTTTAAAGTATATTTAACATAATTTTTATAATATAATTTAAAGTAACTTTTTATTACTATTTATATTATTCGTATAATTCCCAAAATGCAAAATAAATAAATAAACAATATATATATATATATATATATATATTTATTTATTTATATATGTATGTCTTAGTCTTGATAGCTAAAAATTAAAAATCTGATCTCTTGATTTTAGATTTAGCTTAAATTTCGAGGCAAGATAAGACAATATCAAAATTAGTCTCGGTAACTTGTGCAACTTTCAATTCGTTCTATTACATTATAATGTTATTAATATGATTGTATTCGAATTAGATTTTTATGAATTAATTGCAAAATTGTATTAGTCGGTAACAAACTTCTCACAAGATATCCACAAAACACGGAGCAATTCACCAATTGAAAAATATGTTATTATGCAACAAAAATTTTGTTTATTTTCATTGTATATGTATATATTATATATATCGCTTTTTATAAATTTATGTATTGAATTTTTCTTGTGCAATGTTACATAGTTACAAACGTTTTAAAATAATCAAGATTCGAAGACGTTTTCATCGAGAAACGCTTTCGTAAAATATATTTACATGCATTTGTTTTAATTATAATTTTTTTGCGATATTTTTGTCCTTCAGGACGCTTTGACGTGATTATATGCATATTCTCTGGTCTAATAATAGCATAATTTACAATTCCACAGACTCAAATGGCAATATTGACCCTGAGGCACCGCCTTCCAATTACGGTAGGAGAAGAAGTCGCGCCGTCCTTTATCAACTGTCAGGCCATTACAAGCAGGACAATAAGCACAAAATTAAGCTAAACAATGTACGTTTATATATTTTTTTCAAAATTACTACTAATTTTTTTGTTTTTACAAACAACACAAGTCAAATTGCAACGAACAATAAACATATTTTAATTCAATTAAATGTAATGAGAATTTATCGCTAGTAATATACATCGTTTGTTATATGTTGCAAGTTGATAATTATTACGTTTATTCGCGAATGATACATGTATATGTATAAGTTCATTAACAAAGAAGGGTATCAGTAGAAGAAGCTCGTATTTCACAATTAATTAGTATTCATAATAATATTTTATTGTGAATATTAATTTTTCAAGATTTGCATTGAAAAAATTAAATAATATAAATAAAAGCTCTTTTAACCCTTTTACTCTGCGTTACGTTATTTTAGACGCTTCTACATTCAACTGAACTACCTTTACCAGAATACAAAACGTCGGCGATCAAAAAGTCGCAATTTATCCTTAGTCATTACGGTGGTTTCAAATCCTGCTGGGATTGGCTGATCCTCATCGCGACCTTTTACGTGGCAATAATCGTTCCCTATAACGCAAGTTTCATTAACATCGATAGGCCTACCATGGTCAGTGACGTCGTCGTCGAAGCGCTCTTCATTATCGGTGAGTATACCCTACCTCCAATTTTCGATCCTCTCACGTTCCTTTTAGATCTTACTTTATCTCCTTGTTCTACAATTCTCTTGCTTAAATCGTTTTGTCAAGTAAATGAGTTTGCTATGTAAAGAAGACATGTGAATTGCTGAAGCTTTTATTCCGACACGCTGATGAACGAATCAATTATTAAGAAATTAATTAGTTTCTTACTCCCCTGATATCGATTTAACATCGGCAAATTATGCGAATGCACATAATATACAGGATCTATAAAAAGCACCGGGACGATGAAATATCTCGAAAACTAAGCATTCCAGAAAAAAATGTTTCAAATAAAAGTTGTAGGATTTCAAAAGATCTATTTACTGGCACTATGAGTTTAACCTTGGGTGGCGTCGCCATTTTTAAGAAAAAATATTATTAATTCCAAATTACATATTTTTTTCTTCGAAACAACTATGTGTTTTTTTTACATCAATTCATTCCTCTTATTATTTTGTACATAAAGGTATTAAGGTAAGATAATCGAAAAATGAATATTTTACAAGATATTTTACGGTTTATGTAAAATTAAGAAATTATTTTAAGCCTCATAACTCGAAAAGTACTTGATGAAAACTAACTTAATTATAGTGTTTTGGAAAGCTCTCGAGATGAGCTATAAGAATATGCAATAAAAAAATAGGAGGTTCCATTAAAAAAATTCTAGGTGGCCTTGCTCTGACCTTGGCGACGCTATCTAAGGTTAAACTCATAGCGCCAGTAAATAGATCTTTTGAAATCCTACAACTTTTATCTGAAAAATTGTTTTCTGGAATGCTTAGTTTTCGAGATATTTTACCGTCCCGGTACTTTTTATACACCCTGTATATGTATAATTTACATGTATATATAACATGCACTAATGCATTAAAATTATAATTAAACATTGTTATAAGCAATTACATAAGAGAAGAAAGCATATAAATTATCAAATAAAACATATAAATTATCAAATAAATGAAAAAAATCAAGATTTGGAATATAATTATCTCCTAACAGACATCATTTGCTCTCGTTATTTTGGAATAATGTTTCCGAAAAGGAAACGAAGAGAAAATCTTCCTTTCAATTGGCAACACGTGGAGCTCGTTAAGCCAAGAGAAGCGATCAGCCATCCTCTCTTTTTTGCTCTATTCTGCTTTATAAAGGCAGTGGTATTCGATTCAATTGTCGGCAGTCTCTCTCTCCGAACACTAGAAATCCCTATAACATTGATTTACATCGTGATATCCAAACGAAATTCTCTGAATGTATTTTCTATAAAATCTTTTCAATTAGGTGACGATGCGTTAAAAAGATGTAGGTACCGACAAAGCAACTCACATGTTTCGAATCAATTAAGTGAGCAAGGTTATTGTTACATTTCGATTAAAAGAAAGTTAACGAAATATGTCAATTAAGGAAATTTAATAATGATGAAAAAAAAGGGAGAGAGAGAGAGAGAGAGAGAGAGAGCCTTTGCCTGTGGAAAATCGTTTGACAATGGGATTATAATGCCGATCCTTTGATTACATTTTTTTCAATTGTTCGCAATATTGAGGCTAGTCTGCAAGCCAGCACTCTGGAACGTTGATGTAAGCAGTTCCGCAATATTAATCGTGGATACTATATTGTGTTGAGCTTCAATAAATAAACAACACAAGCGTTTTCAATATGCTCTCAGTCCAATATCGATTTTAACTGTCAAACAAAATTGCGCTGTCGTCAAATTAAACGAGATAAATAAAATTTGTATAAAAAATTGCCTGCATTATATAAATAAAAATAAACTTTTTATATTTACTGTCAACCTACGCTTCAAAATATATGTATTTTGAATTTTCGCAACAAGTTTTAACATATTAGAACTAATGTAGAGACTCAATGAATAGCGATATTTCGCGCGTATCGACGTATAATATATAAAACATCAACAATCTGCAACTTTTAAATAAGGTTTTAGATAAGTGGACGTGGAACGTGAATTTGTGGCTAAAATCCAATTTGTAAACGGGATTAAAAGGTATTCATTGCACAAAGCTAAAGTTTTGTTCAGCTGCTTGATACGTTTGCGCGAACAGAAACTTGGCAGGACAACAAGCAGAAAAGCCAGTTTCTCCTCTTAGCTTGAGATTTAGTTAGATGGTGTATAGGCACAGACTCCGCATTTACATTCACTCGCAATTACGATTATTGTCACGCCTCGTCGGGATCAATATCTACTATTTCATGAAAAAGTGCTTAATTGGCAATTTTTTATAAACGGATACAGTTTAGAGATATTCCAAGCAAACGAAGAGTCTCTCATCGGAAAATCGTAATTGCAATTATAAAATGCTTGAATTAAAGTCTGTTTGTTCCTTCGGTGTTAATTTTCGACATTTTATATGGATTTGAAGAAATGTCTTGTTGACATCTAGTGAACTAGATAAATGTCACGTTAAAATTTAACGTTTATTTATTTTATCTATTAAAACATTGCTTATAGAATTTGTAGCAGCAACTCTCGGTAATTCTAATACCTTTTGGCAAATTTAGATTCTATTATCAAATATTAATCACTACATTGAAATAAAATAAATGTGAATTCCTTACTAGATAAAACCATCTTTGTGGGAAATGGTTTTGTGCAGCACAATCAAACTTTATAACAAGTATAATTAGTCTTAAGGAATGTCATAGAATGATTTTTTTTCTAAATTTTATTGAGACAATTCAGATACAAATCCTGTTTTTATCATCTAAATTGATTAAATACAAAACATATGCGATGTCACAGTATTTGCTAATCATTTATCTATCTCAATTATTTTTTTCGCGTCTAAGAAATTGCTATAGTTACAAGACAATTTTCTAAAATGTGTTTGAACTACAGTGTTTGCTGGTATCTAGATAAAATGATCTAGATAATTATTTAGATAAAGAAATTGATCATCTTTATCTTTAACTAGATGAAAAAATACAAAGTATCTTTATCTTTATCTTAAGTAAAAAATATGTCATCTTATCTAAAAATTGTCTAAGATGACGTTTTCATTATGCAAAAAAGTTTTCCAGGCAAGCTTCTAAAAATCTATCTAAAATATCTAAAATATATTTTTTATATTATTATTATTAATATATTATAAATATATTATAAATATATTATAAATATAAATTAATAAATAAATATTTATCATATCATTTATATACCTTTTTGTTATTATTTAAATATTCTTTAGGAAAAGAGAAAGAATATGTGTTTATGATTTTAATATCCCATTTATAATCTGCGTCACATTTTTTACAAATATTTATAGTCTTATAAAATAAACAAAAATATCTAGACAATTATCTAGATTATCGCAATAATTATCTCATCTTTCATCTAGATTAAGTAAAAGCAAAATCATCTTTATCTCATCTATATGAGAGAAATTTACAGATTTTTATCTTTATCTTTGTCTAGATAATTTTAAAATTATTTACAGCAAACACTGTCGAACTATTTCAAAGGGATATTGTCTCGCGTTCCTGAAAGATTTCGATTATTCGAGAGATTGTGTTCATTGCGAATGTATACTCCATTATTCTTCCACAGATATCCTTTTGAACTTTAGAACAACGTACGTGAGTAGAAAGGGTGAAGTCGTCAGCAATAGCAGAAGCATCGCCGTCAACTACGTGAAAGGCTGGTTCTTTGTTGATCTCGTAGCAGCATTGCCGTTTGATTTTCTCTACGCTTCAGACGTTTACAGCGGCGAGGTTCGTATCTTCATCCGCTTACAGATAGATTTATGGGCTAGTCCATTAACTTCTTATAGAAAGTGGAGTCTAATATACAGTAAGTTCTCTTCTAAAATTTAATTCGCAATGTTTCCCGAAAGATTAGCTTTAAAACTTTATAGCGTTTTCCAATTATTAATTTAAGTGTTTTAATAATAAAATGGAAAAAAAATGCTAGCGCAAGACGTAAATTGGATTATTTGAATCAGGAGCCCGGAGAAATTTACGCATAGAGCTTCAGTATGTATTATATGCATCCTAATATCAGTTTTGTGGTAATTACCAATTTCGAATTTCCGCTAGGCATGGACCCGACGAAGAGAGGCTGAGCTAATTAATTCTGCCCATATGTAATAGAAAATCAATACCTTACATATCAGGATTAATATATTATTAAATTTCAATAAAATATTAATTTTAACATAATCGGTATCGATTACACAGGCCTGCGAGGTTTTTTTTTAAGATGCAATAGTCGATTTCCGACGTAATTTTGTGAGCTGAATTCGAATCTGGCCGTTGAATTTGCGTAGCACGTCACGTTTTTGAGTAATTTGTAATTGAATGGCTCAAAAATCGCTATTTTGGCCAATTTCATGAATTTATTGCGAGGAAACCAAATTTTTTGAAATATTTCTGCCAATGGTATCGTATAATACTCACTTTCGCCTTTCAAATCCACTTTCGATTACCGCCGCACGATTTTTCTTCGCTGAGATATATAATTATGACGTAAAAAAATTTACGTTAAAGAAAATTTATATAGACATCAATATGGTAGATCCATGATGTTGAAAGTTGAAAAGACTGACATATGTTAGATTCGGTTGTCTAAAAAAGTATTGTAAAGAAATATCTAATACAGTTGTTACACATTTTGATAAATTTTTCTAAATTTTATGCCTTTTTATTGTGATTCTATTCGTCATATTGGATGCGCCATTTTTAATTTCAAAAGGTGACAGTAGGTATTTAAAAATGTTTTGTTGTATTTTTACCCTAATTTTGATTCGTGAAATGTTGTAATTGTGATTAGTGAAATAAAGAGGTGGCACAGTTGATTTAGAATGACTTATTAGATCCCTATGCAAGACCAGTCTTATGACTTGTATACCTGAGCGAAAAAAAATCGTGCGGCGGTAATCGAAAGTGTGGATTCGAAAGATGAAGGTGAGTACTATACGATGCCATTGACAGAAATATTTCAAAAAATTTGGTTTACTCACAATAAATTCATGAAATTGGCCAAAATAGTGATTTTTGGACTATTCAACTACAAATAAACCTGACGTGCTACGCAAAAACCTGACGTGCTACGCAAATTCGGCGGCCAGATTCGGATTCAGCGCACAAAATTATGTCAAAAATCACTATAACATCTTAAAAAGAAATTTTGACCCCCTTTTTGCAGGCCTGTGTTATCTGTTACATATTTTTTCTTTATTGATTTTTGTTACAGGACTCAGCTCACAGTAATATCCATTTAGTGAAACTCACAAGATTACTGAGACTCGCACGTCTGTTACAAAAGATGGATAGATATTCGCAATATAGCGCGGTAATATTAACAATGCTAATGCTTTTTTTCATTTTGGTCGCGCATTGGTTAGCTTGTATCTGGTATGTCATCGCCGAAAAGGAGAGATTGCGAAATGATAAAGATTGGGACTTGGGTGAGTTTTTCCAGAACAATTTTAGTAGATAGATATTTATCTGTTTCCTGTCTTTTGATTTGGATAAAGTTTTTTTTCTACTAAATAAATTAATTTCTCAGTGTTTATAGTATAATAGTGATATGCATATAGAATATAAGATTGACATAGTAATGCCTCTGAGCTTAATTAATCTTTATCTAATAAGTTAATTTGATAGTTAGCTTTTTATAATGATTGCACAAGATTTTAAATTATTTCTTTGAACTTATTTTCTTATTTCTCGCCTAAGTCTATTTTCTAGATTTTCTTTGGTCTTATTCTCTTTTCTCGCCCTTACAATTTTCTTTATTGAGTCTCTTTCTGCCAGAAGACTTGATTTATTCTCGTATTCTTTCTTATTTTCAGTGTACAATTTGTTGTTAAATATTTTTTAATATTTTGATGTGTACAATTTGTTGTTAAATATTTTTTAATATTTTGATTCAAATATATTCTATATTTATCTTTTTTTCGTTTATGACAAAATTTATTACGGAACTTTTATATTAAATCTCATAATTTATTTAAATCTCATAATTTTCGAAAATTTTTCTGACTTTCTGTTTTTCTTTTGAAGTATTTTAAGGGGAGTTCCTCTGTCTAACTTTTATATCAGTCTTATATTATATATATTTTTCAGTCTCTACATCTCTTTTAGAGAATTTATATATTACTTCGAACTTTTCCTTTTTTTCTTCTTTTAATCTTTTAATTTTTATCCTATATATATATATTCCATTCCTATGAAAACACATTTCTCTATCTGTCTCCCATCTATTTTTAGTTTCATTATTTTTTTTATTTTCCTAAAACATTTTTTCCGTATTATTGTTCTATTTCTCTCCAATTTTTTTCTTAAATCTAATTTCTCTTCTATCTGTTTCTATTTTCAACAACTGCCTTTTTATTTCTTAACAATATAATCTGGTGTTCCAATTTAATCCTAATGTCTCTTTTATAAATTTATTCTGGCCCTTTTCATGTTCTTTCCATCTCCAAATCTCTATTCCGTACATTAAGATATTATTTATTGAATAGTAAACATATCCTTTTCTTACAGTCTCCGACAAATTTTCTTTGCTTTTCTATATTCTAGATTTATTTCATAGCCTTTTAATCTTTTTCTTAATATTTTTATCTGTTGCATTATATTTATCTTCAATGTATAATCTAAATATTTGAAATGATCGACTTTTTCTATCTTTATTCCGCATAACAATTTTAGTATATCATTTAATCCCAAAATTTAGTATATCATTCAATCCCAAAATTTTATATAGATACATATTTTACAGATGATATTTATATCGGGAAGTCAGAAATGTTCAACATGCTGTAAAAGTAATTAGATTACTTTCGAGAAGCACGTGCTATGTACATAGAAATTAATTTGAAAGTGATCATAGTGATCTATAAGAATTCTTCCACTCTATCAACTACTGTCTTAAGAAATCATGTTTCTACATTTCACACAAGATCGCGCGAGTTGATTTGTAACCATAGAAATGATCCTATGGATACGAAAGCTCATGCATAAAATTTGTAGGAAGATTGTTTTTCGATAGTTGTTGAGAAAATTTTTCTACGAAAGAACTACGTCTTCTAAAATAAAAATAGAAAAAAATAGAAAAAAATTCTGTAAAAAATTCTGTAAAAAATCTCTAATTTTATATTTTATAAAAATAAATATATAATGGAAAAGTTAAGAAGTTAAGAAGAGTTATAGCAGAAAAGTACAAATTTTAATATTTATACACAACCAGATAATATTTCTATTAAGTTATATAAAAATATGTTAGTACTGTACACTTATAAATATAGAGAGTTTTCAACAGTCTAGAGTATTACAGATTAAACTAAAACAACGAAATTATAATCTGTTCTAGGTTGGTTACATACTCTGGCTGAGAGATTGAAAATCTCTGTACAAAACGTTACGCATACAGAAAGCTATATAACGGCATTATACTTCACTTGTAGTAGTTTAACTTCCGTAGGGTTCGGAAATGTTTCGGCAAATACATTCTCGGAAAAATTCTTTTCTATTTGCACAATGTTGATTGGTGGTAAGTCTACTAATATAATGAGTTAACACACGTTATTTGTATAATGCATTGATATATTGATGATAAAGTAAATTTTGCCATATGCTAATTAATTGAAGATTATCTCTTTTCGCGGTATTTCGATGATACATAATACATGATTGTTAGCTTTATCTCACGAACATTAAATATATATGATTATATTGAATTATATTATACATGCGATTTGCGTTGCAGCTCTTATGCATGCCGTCGTATTCGGTAATGTTACTGCAATTATTCAAAGAATGTACTCTAGAAGATCTTTGTATCAAACAAAATTACGAGATCTTAAGGATTTTCTGGTGTTACATCAGATCCCGGAAGAGCTCAAACAGAGAATGCAGGATTATTTTCAAACCATTTGGTCGTTAAATCACGGCATTGATATACACGAGGTAAAATCTATTCTTCTTTCGATCGGATCTTCTCTTAATTATTATATTATTACCAGTGTTTGCTGTAGATAATTTCAAAATTATATAGATAAAGATAAAGATAAAAATCCGTAAATTTATCTTAGATGAGATAAAGATGATTTTACTTTTACTTAATCTAGATGAAAGATGAGATAATTATTGCGATAATCTAGATAATTATCTAGATATTTTTGTTTATTTTAGAAGACTATAAATATTTGTAAAAAATGTGACGCAGATTATAAATGGAATATTAAAATCATAAACACATATTCTTTCTCTTTTCCTGAAGAATATTTAAATAATAGCAAAAAGGTATATAAATGATATGATTAATATTTATTTATTAATTTATATTTATAATATATTTTTATAATATATGAATAATATAATAATAATATATTTATAATATATTAATAATAATAATATGAAAAATATATTTTAGATATTTTAGATAGATTTTTAGAAGCATGCCTGGAAAACTTTTTTGCATAATGAAAACGTCATCTTAGACAATTTTTAGATAAGACATATATTTTTCATCTAAGATAAAAATAAAGATACTTTGTATTTCTTCATCTAATTAAAGATAAAGATGAGCTATTTTTTTATCTAGATGATTATCTAGATAATTTTATCTAGATACTAGCAAACACTGATTATTACATATATTGGAATAAATTTAAAATGTTGTATTATTACTGTGATAAAAAGTAAATTATTACTGTGATAGTAATTTAAAATTTGTACGATAATTGTTTATTATTGCAAAACGAAATAATTCTTGTGCAGACCCTTAAACAATTTCCCGAGGAATTGCGAGGAGATGTTTCGATGCATCTTCATCGTGAGATTTTAAGTTTACCGATATTCGAAACCGCCTCTCAGGGATGTCTAAAGCTACTCTCCCTCCATATTAGAAACAACTTTTGCGCCCCCGGCGAATTTCTCATTCACAAAGGAGATGCGCTCTCATACATCTATTATCTGTGTAACGGATCCATGGAAGTTGTGCAAAATGACATGGTGGTCGCAATTTTAGGTAAATCATAGCAAGCATAATTCAATATCCGCGTTTAACAGAATTAATTTCTCATAATTAATAATCGGCATTTTCACATCGTTAAATTGTATCGTTAATGATAGTGCTTGAATTTGATAGATTTTGCATTACAATATAGTTTAAGATTTTTTCGAATCGATTTGCTATTTGATACATGATTATTTTACGAACAAATTTATCGATGGTATATTCTTTTTTTTCTCTTTTTCTTTTTTTAAGGAAAGGGTGATTTGGTGGGTTGCGATATAAATGTTCATCAGCAATATGGAAACAACGGCGGTGGTACGACCGGAACTGGCTCAGTTGACGTCGTAGTAAAATCCAGTTGCGACGTCAAAGCGCTAACATATTGTGATTTGAAATGTATACACATGCAGGGTTTAGTTGAAGTCCTCCGATTATATCCCGAATATCAGCACGAGTTTGCGCATGTTATACAACACGATCTTACATATAATTTGCGCGAAGGATACGAGGCAGAGGTAATTAACTCTATGTACTTTCATAAAAGACAGGAATAAAAATTTCACATTTTTTTTTATAAAATCCATGCTAGTAATAAAAACCGATATTTTCAGAAAAATCGACAAAACTGTTCCTTTTTATTGAAAAATATTAAAATAAATAGAAAACTTTTTTTAATATTCATCAATTTTGAGACAGTGTTTTCTAATTTAAGCTTTGTCCAAAATAAAATCCGCAATAAAAATCGATACAAAATAAATTAATTTTTTGTTAGATGTTGAAAGATAAATGCATACATATAAATCTGTACTGAAAAAATTGTTAATTCTGTTATTATTACATTTTTATTATTAACAAATTAAAATAAAATATAGTAAGAGGCCATAAAGAGCCAACGCAGTTGAAAGGCGTTTTTTTAAAATTATCCATGAAAACAATCATATTAAACGATCTTTCTTCTTTATTGACATCAAACGTTTCGGACTCAGTTCGAGTCTTCTTCAGTGATTCTGATAAGATAAAAAAGAACCAAATGAGATAACATTAAAAACGCAATATCATTATAGATAAGAGAGGAAAAAACATAGTCATCATACGTGCATAGTCTTAGAGAGCGACGCAAACTCGTCAAGGCAAGTCAACTCGAGAAAGCCAGATGCAAGTAGCCCTCTAAGCAGTGCAAAGCGCAAAGAGCGATACACTAACAAAATAAATGTACACGATGTAGATACAAAGCCTTGCAATAGGATAATCAACATTAGTCAAAGGCAACTCACTCGGACTCGAGAAGACGCAACAGAAACGACACGAACACTCAGCACGCACATAGCCGACTAGGCAGAAAGATTCGAACGATAAAATGACGTCAAAATGTGGTCAACAAAAACAATCTGTATACATTGAGGACAAGAGCAGTCCTAACAAACAACACATTATTATATCTTAGATATGTTTTCGATTATCGACAAATCGATGTATTTAACTTTAACGTATCACTATGGAGATTCAACGCTTAGAGGACTACTTGCATCTGACTTTCTCGAGTTGACTTGCCTTGACGAGTTTGCGTCGCTCTCTGAGACTATGCACGTATAATCTATGTTTTTTTCTCTCTTATCTATTAATGATATTGCGTTTTTAATATTATATCATTTGGTTCTTTTTTGTCTTATCAGAATCACTAAAGAAGGCTCGAACTGAGTCCGAAACGTTTGATGTCAATAAAGAAGAAAGATCGTTTTCATGGATAATTTTTAAAAAACGCCTTTCAACTGCGTTGGCTCTTTATGGCCTCTTACTATATTTTATTTTAATTTGTTAATTTCGAGAGCCTTTAATTTTGTTTATCTTTTATTTTATTATTAAACTAAAAGTTTAATATAAAATTTAGTAACATTTATACCTACCTTTTACGTTAAAAAATTTACATATTAATTAAGTTAAAAAACAATATTATATATATTCTATTACTTTAAACTATAATGATTAGTATGATTTAATTAAAGCAAAAATAGTTTTTCGCATAAAGTTATGTAAATATATTTTAATGTTATATTTTAATGTTACATATTAATTATTTTTATAGTTTTTGCTAGTTTGTTTCATTAGGTAAAAATCAAAATTTACTATGGCTTCCACTTATTAGATTTTTTTATCAGTCCTGATAAAAAAAGATAGAGAATTGCTGTAAACATTAGGTATTATCAGTTACTAAAAGCGGAGAATGATAATAGAGAAAAACTATTTTAAGATATATTTAAATATTGAGAAAATATTCTTTTCTATTTTTTTCTTTCAATTTTATACAAAAGAAAAAAATTGCGCTTATATTGAATAAGTGGGCAAATATATTTTGATACTGATATATTTTTGAACGAATGTATATGTTGTTGTTGTCTAATGAAAATTATCGACTTAAATTTTGCTTAATCATTGAATTTACCAGTTCTGTTGTCGCCTGAATTTTAGCAGGAATCCGATGTGAATGGTCCATCATTGACATTGCCCTCCATCAGCGAGGATGACGAGAATGCAGTCGAGGAGGGAGAAACTTCCCCTTTATCACCACCGAACAAATCACCGCTTCATACATCTTCGAGTCCGCGACATGCCAAGTTCAGGTAAGTCCTTTACCTATATTTATTGTACATTAAAAAAAGCATTCTCAAAATCATGTATATATCATATATATATAATCATATATATAGAGGAGACTGGGGACAAAAGTAACATTTTTTGTATTATAGGTCACTAATTAATTATCGTTAGAGACATAACAAAAAAGATTATATATTAAAAAACTCTATTTATTATTCTATTATTATATCTATGTTTCAATCTCAAGTGATAGATATTTAAAGAGCTACTAGCTTTTCGCAAGTACGTTGATTGTCATTTTTATCCTGGAGGCCTGGGACGAAAGTAACATAATCTGGGGATAAAAGTACCAGTTCTTATTTTCGAAAAAATAAAATAAATATGACTTTTTTCAATTTAGGGCAACTTTTATTATAATCTTTCATTAAGCAAGATAACTTTTATTATAAATTTCTATTATATTATATTAAAATAAAAAATAAAATAAATATTTATTTTTATCATCTTTGAAAAACTTAAAAGAAATAATTTTCGTTAAGCAAAATAATTATAAGTATCATAAAATAATTATATTTAATATCACACCAGTTTTGTACTTTTTTAAGTCTAAATAATAGTTTAATTGTGTAAAAATTGTATGATAACTACTTATACAAAAGAGATTGGTATCCGAATCACAATTATGGCATACGTAATAAGAATCGCCTTTGATACAGTTATTATGGGATCAGCCCTTACACTCTAAGCATTGAAACATGTTACTTTCGTCCACAGAGTGTCGTGTTACTTTTGTCCTCCAACACATTTTTTAGAATAAAAGCATTATAACCTAAATATGATGCAAGACTTGGCCAATTCAACTATAAAAACTTATGAATACATTTTAGAAGAATGCACCGGCAAATAATTACACCAATATATACACTTAAATTAGGCATAGATACAAAAAAATTAAAACAAGAAATACTTAGATGAATAATGCAAATACGCTAATTTTATTCCTGCATGTGCAACCGGTGTGATCGTTCTACAACAATTAACTGAAAAGGAAGAGAATCGGGACATACGCGTTTGATTACACATAGTACGAATTATTCGACATTGTGTAGGAGTAGATAGTTCAGTAGCAGGATTATTATTTTCATGACGTTGTTACTTTTGTTCCCGGTCTCCTCTCTCTCTCTCTCTCTCTCTCTCTCTCTCTCTCTCTCTCTCTCTCTCTCTCTCTCTCTCTCTCTCCCTCTCTCTCCCTCTCTCTCCCTCTCTCTCTCTCTCTCTCTCTCCCTCTCCCTCTCCCTCTCTCTCTCTCTCTCTCTCTCTCATTCGCTCACTCACCTGTAATTTTTTTTTTTTTTTACGAGAGAGAGAGAGAGAGAGAGAGAGAGAGAGAACGTTTTCTTATAAAATATAGAACGATTAAAAGAAGAAGACTGCGTTAAGTAAACGACAACAGAGGGTAAAAATTTTAATGGTGTAAAAAGCTTGAAATAATGGATGGACGTGAGAGTGTAGGAAAAAAGTTAATCTAGCGGTTTCCGAACTTTTTTTTGTTTTTCTCCTTTTCTCGGTTAAACATCTTTTCTTGCTGCAGTCTACTTTTTCCGGAAAGGAGTACTATTGCTATAAGAGAGTATGTATATACTAAGTCCCTCTTTTTTCGTTACGTACTACAGAATATCTATCTGATATATTTGTACAGAATATACTTCTATTCTATTTTAGTCTGATATAAAAATATTCTGTGATTAAGAGAAAGTAGCATTTAAATGCAAGAACGAAGTATAAGGAAAAAATATCTCGAATTGCACGACGCGTTCGCAATTTATCTATATCCTTTCCGAAGAAAGAGACTCTCGGTTATAGGATAACACGATTTTCCGCTCGAAGAATTGTGAAATACATATCCCAAAGTCGTGTTCTTTCAACCCGGCTTTTCAGATACCGGTGGTATCGATAAATTTTAGCAGAATGTCTATAATCCACTTTAGAAATTCCTTATTTTTCGGAATTCTTGTGCCGCGATTTCTATGCCATTTTAAACGCTGCCGATATTTCGAATCAAATAATCGCACAATAAAATTAATTGTGCGAACAAAATTAATTGTATTTAATATATCAGGGAAGACTATAGAGATGGGAGACGAGCGGCAAGGGGTGTCTTGGTACGAGGAGGAAGGGCAGCGCAGGTGATCGTACAGGAGTCTATGGAGGAGCACATTCGAGGATCGGTCGAGAGACTAGATAATCAGTTTTCCACATTGCATCAAGACGTTGCCACGCTCAGTAGCGAGGTATCTTATTTATACATAGATTTCTTATAATGTTATATACATTATATTTTAAAGCGCAAACGCATTAAGACGAATGCGAAATTGTTTTATATTTACTCAACAGCTACTGATACTTAATTTCTTTCGAGACTTTCTGACTTCGAATACGTCTATAAATAAATAAAAAATAATTAACTCAGAAAAATTCATTCGGTAGAATCGAATTTCTAATTCAATTTTACTTAAACTGATATAACTTTTTGATATACGATTTAACGAAACAATTCCAACAAAAGGAGTAATTTTTCTTTTTTTAAATAATATTTAACATGATTTCAAACTTAAAAATTTTTGTACTGCTTAATAAAATTTAAAGTGGAAATTGCATTTAAAAAAGTTATTTTAACGTAATTTATTAGGTATAACGGTATGATGACCCACATTTGCTTAAATCGATATAAAATACACTTATAATGAACAGATTTAATTAGTAGTTGAAATTTACAAAAAGTTATTAATATTATAATTAATAATTGCATCAATTTTTGATTAATTAAAATATTCTATAATTATAAGCTTTTTGAGAATATTAGAAATATTGATGCTTTTCCAAAGACTTTGATGAAAAAAGTTTTTAGGTATATTCAATTATAACGAATAAAAATAATTTTTGATAAAAATGATTGATTTTGTAATTTTTTAAATATTAAATCACATTCAAAGGAATTCTGTGCGGTTTTCAAATTGTGTGTACTGTTAACTATCGACTGTTTCGATACTTATTGGTAAGTTCATTACGTCTGAGCAATGAGTAGAGCGTTTTTCCTGGATCATATTGTACCATTTCATCCTATTACAAGTGTTGTGCTAATAATTTTTTATATTCCATGCAAAATTAAATATATTATTAATACTTTCGATCTTTAAAAGGAATTTATTGTAAAGATTAAAATCATTCTTTTTTGGGAAAAATTGATCGCTCGCATAGAACTGTGTTATCCAAGAGAGAAAAAAATAAACAGGAGACTCAGAGGTATTCGCCGCGAGATTAATTAATGCGCTATGGGTCGACAGGTACGCAACGCCATTCAAGCATTGCAGATGCTCGCCTGCTCACCCCAAAGTAATCCGAATTTGCCGACGCCGGCGGCGAGCCGCGGCAGCGGGGTCCTCGCGAGGAGTTCGTCCCATCCCCCGGACGCCATTTGTTGGAATCCGCCAGAGAGATTGATCGACGCGTCGACGCAGACGGATTGGCCGGTCGACTTGTTCGAGGCATGGGTGCGTGCAAACCCCCGCAGATCTCTAAAAGCCCTCGGTCTCGATCCGAATGTCGTCCTGAGGTTACCTCCGCCGTCGCCTACGCCGTCGCCGTCCTCGCCTCCGCCGCCGCCCTACGAGCCCTTATCACCTTTGGTGAGCTCGCCGCAACAATCGCCCTCGCGATCTCTAACAACAGGTAATTACATGACGAGCGTTATAAGCAGTGTTTGCTGGTATCTAGATAAAATTATCTAGATAATCATCTAGATAAAGAAATGGCTTATTTTTATCTTTAACTAGATGAAGAAATACAAAGTACCTTTATCTTTATCTTAGATGAAAAATATATGTCATCTTATCTAAAAATTGTCTAAGATGACGTTTTCATTATGCAAAAAAGTTTTCCAGGCATGCTTCTAAAAATCTATCTAAAATATCTAAAATATATTTTTTATATTATTATTATTAATATATTATAAATATATTATTATTATATTATTAATATATTATAAATATATTATAAATATAAATTAATTAATAAATATTTATCATATCATTTATATACCTTTTTGCTATTATTTAAATATTCTTTAGGAAAAGAGAAAGAATATCTGTTTATGATTTTAATATCCCATTTATAATCTGCGTCACATTTTTTACAAATATTTATGGTCTTCTAAAATAAACAAAAATATCTAGATAATTATCTAGATTATCGCAATAATTATCTCATCTTTCATCTAGATTAAGTAAAAGCAAAATCATCTTTATCTCATCTAAGATAAATTTACGGATTTTTATCTTTATCTTTATCTAGATAATTTTGAAATTATCTACAGCAAACACTAGTTATAAGGAGAGGGGGACTCACACGTGCTAAGGCTACGGACGATATCCGTAGGCAGAACGAATTCGAGGAATTTATTAAAACAATGGTTTAATACATAAAAAGGTTTCTCTTTGAAAAAAAAGATAGTCTGTTTTTTGAAAAGATACACATGGGACACGTGGGAGAGAAAAAATACTTCCTGGAAATTCTCATATACAACAGGGAGGGAAAGAGAGATACGTCTCATCGTAGGGGGGATAGTCCTTCATACGATTCCGCGAATATACGTGTCAACCTTTCCACGAAAGAAATTTTCTTTAGAAGAGAAAATACTCCTCTGAGTTTTCCCCATATTGCGAAGAGATACATTTTTCTATGGGAACAAAGAGAGAGAGAGAGATGTATCCCTTTGCGGGGAAGGTTGCGTATCCGCCCGTGTATTTTCGCAAACTTCTTCGTAATAAGGGTTGCGTGAATGGTGGACTTGAACTTCCGACGGAAACCCTCGTAAAGGGAATACCTTTCACCTTAGCTTCCTATATAAGATATCTCTTCGCATACGAGTTACTCATATCAATACATGCATACGTTTTTTCTAGAGGATCCTTACTTGTTTTCTCTATGGCAAAGAATATTTTTATATAAAAAACAATTACCTCATGTATGTATTTATTTTTCTTTACATATATATCAAGAAAAAATATGAATTTGCAACGAGCTATTATTTCTTAAGGATGTTTTGTATGTATAATACAATCCCAGCAAAAAGTAGCTGAAAATCAATATTGATGAATATATCCATTTTTGGTGTATTTTGAGTAAGAAATTGTATGGAAAAGATGTATTTTTTAATATTGCGTTTTTTACTGAAATATTCCGAATTTTGTTCATCGAAATGATTAACTTTTGGCAGAGAATTTCGCCTTGTGTGACAGATACATGGCTAACTTCATTGAATTATATTTAATATCTTTTTAACCAGTTAGTACTTGTATAATATTATTTGACCAAATATTTCCTCTGTATCTAAACTTTTGCAAATTTTAAACAAATTCTGAATATTATTTCCATGTGTTTTTGTCATTTGAATCGACGTGGTTATACGTTTCCCATAAGAACACATGTTAATTCGGTGCAAATTAAAATCCTTATAACTTGTGAACTTTAGTGAATCGATTTAAAAATTGTACTGAAGATTCTAAACATATGTAAGGATATTCTGTACAATTTTCATTAAATTCTTAATATTTTGGAAATAGGTACAAACATCCTTAAAATATTATGATTTCTTTACATTATTTCCTCTCATTATTTTTTGTATAATTGAGGGAGAATAATCGAAAAATGAATATTGAGATATTTCATAGTTTATCAATTAAAATTATGTCAAAGTATAAAATATTTCGTAAACCAATATATATATATTTAACCAATATATATTTAATTTTCGGTCATGTTATTCTATTAATTTTTTACACCGAATATGAAGAATCGATTTATATAAATAAATTAGGATGGCTTTTTTATTTAACAATGAAGATATCTTTGATAACCTCATGACTTTTATCCAAGATCAAACTAATGGCACCATCTTATATTCTTCTCAAAATCATCAAATTTGTATACAAAATATTTTTTGATGGAAGCCTCGGTTTTCGAGAAATATCAATGTATCATTAAAAATGGGTCACTCCGTGTGTATAAAAGTTGTTTATATAATACAAATTTCTCAAATTTTTCCGTTTGATGTAATAATCCACACTGTTTCGTCTACAATCGAGACTTGGCACCGAGAATTTTTATCGACGTTGAACGCTGACGCGTAATTTAAACCGATTTCAGGAAATGACAGCTACGTTTTTGGAATTACTCGCAACGCCTCGCACATTCCTCGATTGTACAGGCCGCCCAATTCAACCTGGGATCCTGACAACAAGCTGTGGCATCGATTTAGCGCCGGCGACGCCGATAACGTATCGATATATCAGGCGTTGCGTCTTCCGGAGTCACGCTCAATCCCTTCGAAGTTCAATCCCTTCGACAGCTGAGCTGATTAATTATTCCGGGCTTGCACAAAAATTCATTTATTCATTAATGTGAAAGAAAAGTCTGTTGCATTTAATTTTTATCAGTAAAAAAAAAGATAATTCTTGCATTGTGATAAAACGTTCAAAAAATTTCGATCTAAAGACATAATAAAATTATACATTAATCGATACACGAATTTATTAATGCTAAAAGCTTCAAGTAATTTAATTGGCAGGTCAATTACAATGTTGTCACAAACTGTTATCGCGATAAACAGTTTTAACAGATTTGAAAACGCAAAATTAAAATAATTTCTGAAAAAAGAATGAAACTTGACATTGACCCACGTGAAATATTAATTCGCATTTCGCAACGGAATTGGATAACCAATGATATGATATCGACTGGAAAATCTCGTATTTCAAATCACGGGCGATAATGTATTGCATATGCAAATTCAGGCTCGTACATCTCGTAATATAAACAATCGCTCATTTAACACGTCACACTGGATTACTCGTCAATTGACGTTTATATTTCCTTCAAATGTTAATCTCGCTATATAATATTTAACTCTTGAATGCATCCAGTTTCTTTCATGAAAACTGAAATAAATTAAGACTGATGCTATATATACACAAAGACATAATACATACATATCAGCAAATTTAAAACTTGTGATTATTCTGGTTTTAAATAAAAATGAATTAGATTATAAAAATATTTTTTTCAACTATTTTACGATATAAATATATATGTATATCAATATCCAATTAATAGTATCTCGTCTAGCGATATTTTATTTATTGCAGTGTCGACAAGAGAGAATAATAAATAAAATATTTGAAATATTAAAAGTTTAAATTTATTCTTATGATATATAAATATGTTCAAACAAATCTTGCAATTACAGCAAAAAAATTTCTAAATATGAAAAGTTAATTGAGATAAATAAATAATTAGAAAATATATATTGTGATATATCGCATATATTTTACAGTTCAAAATCAATATAAATGACGGACAAAATTTAGATCTGAACAATTAGTGATATTTAGAAATAAAGTCTTCATGTGACACCTATCCATTAAGGCTAATCATACTTTTTGTAAAAAGTTTGATTATACACAGAAAAATCGTTCTAGCTGTAATCTGAAAACTTATATTTATTTCAGAAAATGATTAATATTTAGGATTTATATTTGTCAAAAGACATTATTAGAATTTGCTATTATAAATTCTACATGTTACAATGTTTTAACAAATACAAAAAATAGCGATAAATTTTTAGTGTGATAAAATCTACCTGTATCAGCAAAACATTTCTTTGAATATACACATCTTACTAAAGAAAACCTAATGCCTTCAGCAATTTTCTATCTTTCTCATGGAAATACATAGAGCTAATTACTTCTCATATCCCTCGCAAATTAAATGTAAGAGAGTATAATCAGATTAATAACAATTTTCTAGCGTTTAAAAACAAATTTTATTAAAGCATCATGCATTCAAGAGTTAAGCTATACTTCATATATTGTCCTAGGCATTTCTGTCACTGCCAAACAGGATAATACATGATATGTCTTTGCGGTTTTTCCGTTTCGGACAAAATATATAGAATATATTCTGCAAATCTGTTGAGTAAAATAAATTCTCGCTTACATCATTTTAATACACATAACTCTATAATACGATTCGATATTATTGTAACTACGAACGTGAACAACGTATGCTTCAAAAATCGTGACATTTATAATTATTTCACTGACATTTATAATTATTTCACACACGCTATCTATGTAATCAGTGTAACAGTATTCTAGCATTTTCTACCAAACGTTAAATATCGCATCTAATTTTATAGAAATAAATTGTGCACATAAATTATTAATTCATAATTATTAATTGCTTGTATGACCAGATTAAAAAAAAATAATCGATCTTCGCTTTATCGCAATTAAGCTGCACGTAGAGATGTAAAAATTTTTTTAACAGAAACTTTCTTTTAACAAAAAACAAATACTAAAAAAAAATTTGTTTTAATTGAAAAAACAAATTTCCTTTTACTACAAAAAGTTTTCTTTTATTACTTTTTTAAATATAATAATATTTTCCTTCATATTTTTTTTGTTAACATAATTTTAAAAAAATTAAGTTTTTATATTTTTAATTTTTTTTCCGAAAGTAATTTTAATGAATTAATAAAACTTTGGTGACAAATTATATTAAACACGACATGATTCAGATAATATTTAGATGTACAACAAAAATTTTTATTATATTAAATTTATTATTATTATTATGATATTAAAAATTTTTATCTAATTGAAAATTATACAAATTATGCCATATTTGAGATCATTTTAATCGGAAAGATTTTATTAAAATTATTTTTAAAAAAGAAAAATTAAAAATACAAAAATTTTAGTTTTTTTAATTTATTATTATTACAATAGTGTCTATTAAATGCATTTTTACAAATTATGTTTTCGTATCTATGTATAATAAAAAAATTCATTGGAATGCACTTTTGATTTGTTTTTGGAGAATTTATCTAATTAAAAATAATAATTACATAACTATATAATTAATTAGAATATGATCTGCTTAAAGTTAAAATACTGATGATAAGTTAAAATCATCTTAAAAATAAAAAATAATGAAAAATCACACATAGCACTTGCAATATTCAAAAAATATAATTTTCAATATTTAAAAAAAAACAAATTTTGAAGGAACAAGATTTGTTGTTTCCATGGGTTATTTCACGAAAAAAAATCATTCTATGAAAAAAATAACATTTTGCTTTTTTTCTATTTACATCTCTAATTGCATGTCTCCGATAAATAAAAACAGATGCTCTGCAAGAAGCAGTTCCATAAAATATTATGAGTTACGTGCGTTTATCCAGAGAGTTAGGGTAGCAATAATGTGCACAACAAATTTCAATGTACACCATCGACGTCCAATCGAAAGGAAACAATTCATATATAGTATATCTGTTAAGTAGTAATATATAATAATGACCATCGTTGAGAGAACGGTGATTAGTGTGCGCGATTATAAGACATAAAATAACTTCGAATCTATCTTGATCAATAATGTATGTCGATTACACAGAGATGTGTGCGTGTGTGACGAGAATATATATATCTAAATATATAAAACTATATATTTATATATATATACATATGTATATATATATATATATGTATGTATATATATGTATATACACGGTGGGCCATTTTAATCGATGCACTCGAATATCTCGAAAACAGCACTCTTCAGAAAGAAATGTTTCAAACAAAAATTGTAGGGTGTGAAGGGGGACATAAGATGGTAGCATTGGTTTGACCTTGGAAAGTCATTTGAAGGTCACATAAAAGTCACCTTCAATTTCTTAAATTGAACCCACTATTTTTCATTACATATTCTTCTAGCTTATCTCGAGAGCTTTCCAAAACACTACAGACAAATGTTTTTTCATTAAATACTTTTTGAGTTATAAGGCTTCAAAGTTTGCAGTACTTCGATATAAAATGCAAAATATCTCGTAAAATATTTAGTTTTCGGTAGTCTTACCCTAATACTTTTATGCGCAGGATAATGAGACAAAACTATTGGTGCAAAGAAAACGTATGATTGTTTATGATAAAAAATGTGTAATTTGCAATGCACTTTTTGTTATAAACAATCATGCGTTTTCTTTGCACCAATAGTTTTGTCTCATTATCCTGTGCATAAAAGTATTAGGGTAAGACTACCGAAAACTAAATATTTTACGAGATATTTTGCATTTTATATCGAAGTACTGCAAACTTTGAAGCCTTATAACTCAAAAAGTACTTAATGAAAAAACATTTGTCTGTAGTGTTTTGGAAAGCTCTCGAGATAAGCTACAAGAATATGTAATGAAAAATAGTGGGTTCAATTTAAGAAATTGAAGGTGACTTTTATGTGACCTTCAAATGACTTTCCAAGGTCAAACCAATGCTACCATCTTATGTCCCCCTTCACACCCTACAATTTTTGTTTGAAACATTTCTTTCTGAAGAGTGCTGTTTTCGAGATATTCGAGTGCATCGATTAAAATGGCCCACCGTGTATATGTCCCAATGGGATGTCCCAAAAGTCCGAACCGGTCGAATATTTCATAAACTATGTACTTTAGAAAGAAATGTTTCAGACAAAAGTTGTATGGCTTGAAGGGAGCATCAGATAGTGGCAATGATTTGACATGAGAGAGTCATTTGAAAGTCACGTGAAGATTACCGTCAATTTCTTAAATGGAACTTCCTATTTTTTATTAAATATTCTGGTAGCTCACGTCGAGAGCTTTCCAAAACACTATAATTAAGTTAGTTTTCATTAAGTACTTTCAGAATTATGAGGCTTGAAATCATTTCTTAATTTTATATAAACCGTAAAATATCTTGTAAAATATTCATTTTTCGATTATCTTACCTTAATACTTTTATGTACAAAATAATGAGAGAAATCAATTGGTGTAAAGAAAAAATATAGTTATTTTTAAGAAAAAATATGTAATTTGCAATTAACAATTACATATTTTTTTTAAAAGAACTATGTGTGCCTTTCATGTTTTTTCTTTACACCAATTGATTTCTCTCATTATTTTGTACATAAAAGTATTAAGGTAAGATAATCGAAAAATGAATATTTTACTAGATATTTTATGGTTTATGCAAAATTAAGAAATGATTTCAAGCCTCATAACTCAAAAAGTACTCAATGAAGAAATACTTTATTATAGTGTTTTGGAAAGCTCTCGAGATAAACTACACGAATATGTAATAAAAAATAGGGGGTTCTATTTAAGAAATTGAAGGTGATCTTTATGTCACCTTCAAATGACTTTCCAAGGTCAAATCATTACCACTATCTGATGGCCCCCTTCAAGCCATATAATTTTTGTCTGAAACATTTCTTTCTAAAGTGCATAGTTTATGAAATATTCGACCAGTCCTGGGACATCCTATATACAAATGGGACGTTTCACGTCAACCGGATCACTTGTCTGCCCAAAATTTGAAGCGACCTACAAAGACGTTCGATAGCTCAAAAAATTAGTCTTTACTAGTACTTTCGAAAGTCATGTGCCCCGTTTTGAAATTCAAAATGGCGGATCCAATATGGCGGCTGAATGGATGAATAATTATTGAATAGCCTACGTAATTCCACAGTATCTCCTTTTTCAAAATTACATTGGCGTTGAAATTGCTTAGAAAGGAGTTTTCAGTGTCTCTGATCACAATCCTAGAGTTGTGTCACTGAAATGACAATGAATATTAACAGCTCACTGAGTTACCGATTGGATTGCTCACTAACTACTTTGAAAAAAAAACGTTAGAGTAGTAACCACAGTAACAATTTGATTTTTAAATTAAGTAGTCTTTTTACGGTTTCTGCAACCATATTGGATACGCCGTCTTGAATTTCAGTAATGTAACTCCCAAGTTAAGATTAGCTTTTTACTCATTTTCACACTTTCAGCAGCCATATTGGATCCGCCATTTTGAATTTCAAAACGGGGCACATGACTTTCGAAAGTACTAGTAAAGACTAATTTTTTGAGCTATCGAACGTCTTTGTAGGTCGCTTCAAATTTTGGGCAGACAAGTGATCCGGTTGACGTGAAACGTCCCAAATACTCTTTTTAGATTTAAAAATCAGACACATATGTATATATAATATATAGGGAAAACTAATGTTGAAAATATGTGATAAGGCACGGCTTTAGCCATGCACGATTATATTCGTTCGAGCACTTTCATCGTTATTTGTGAAAAATTTTTAACAACTCGATTAATATTAACATTTTTTATTTTAATGCAAAGTATTTATGCATCCAATTTTGTTTATGTTTAATAATAATCAATAATTGATGATCCATCGAACGTATATTTATTAGTTTTTGATTTATTCTCGTCTCTAGTAATCCTATAGTATCCGGAAGGAAAATAAAGAATTACTTGGAGAGTTTTATCGACTATTGTATCGCTATAAGATATAAGACGTTTTCACAAATATCGTTGAAAGGAGCTGTTTTATAAATATTTCATATATTTTGTTATACTATGTTTCTATGCTCTTTGCATTATAATTCAAAAGCTAAGTGTATTATAATATTATCTGACATACACTTTTCACGAATTCCATTACACTTTTTACATTCTCCTACACAGATTGCGAGGTAAAAGCTTTCTCGGATTTTATCATAAGGTCAATAAGCACAAATGTAATAGAACAATCCTCTTCCTAATTATCTGCTCGAAATTAAGGACCTCTTTCTAATATCTTTGACCAACTCTGAATTAGAGCGTGCAAGGAGACAAATATTAAACGGCGACGCTGTTATTATCCCTTACCGCGTGTAGTTATCTTTCTATCATAAAAAAGTTGCACTTACAAAATAAGTATGTTAATGAGTATGTAAAAATAGATATTGTAGTATATTCTGGCTATTCTACCTCTTCAAAAAATATGTATATATACATATATACATATATATATATATATATATATATATATATATATATATACACACACACACACACAGGGTGTCCCATTTTAATCCATCCAGTCGAATATCTCGAAAACCAAGCCCGAGAGAGAAAAATATTTCAGACAAAAGTTGTATGGTTTCAAGGGGGCCATAAGATGGTACCATTGGTTTGATTTTGAAGAGTCACACGAAGGACACTTCAATTTTTTTAAATGGAACATCCTATATATTTTATATATATTCTTAAAAATATGGAATTTGCAATTAATAATTCCATATTTTTTCTTAAATCAACTGTATGTTTTCTTTACACCAATTGATTCCTCTCATTATTTTGTACATAAAAGTATTAAGGTAAGATATCGAAAAATGAATATTTTACTAGATATTTTATGGTTTATGTAAAATTAAGAAAAATTATTTCAAGTCTCATAACTCGAAAAGTGCTCGATGAAGAAATACTTTATTATAATGTTTTGGAAAGTTTTCGAGATGAGCTATAAGAATATGCAAAAATATATAGGATGTTTCATTTAAAAAAATTGAAGTATCCTTCACATGACCTTCAAATGACTCTTCAAGGTTAAACCAATGATACCATCTTATGGCCCCCTCGAAATCAAACAACTTTTGTCTGAAACATTTTTCTCTTCGGGGCTTGGTTTTCGAGATATTCGACTGGATGTATTAAAACGGACCACCCTGTATATATACATATATATGTATATATATATATATATATATATATATATATATACAGGGTGTCTGAAAACTTTTCGCGGTTCCGAAGTGTGAAGGTAGACTGGCTCAAATTAAGAAGGAAGGTCTTCTATTGCTTAGCGATATTTGCAATAATTAATGAAAAATTAATTAAAGAAGAACGGCCAATAGTGCTTGGCCAATGGTGATTAGAAAGGAGAGGAGCGATGAGTATGTAGAGGCGCGGCAAAAGCTCCTCTCCTTCCCAATCATCACTTCACCGCACGCCTTCATTATGTTACAGTGAGACCGCCTTTGCTGCCGTGTGCTTCTAGCCACGCGCATTGGCCGATTTTCTTTAATTAATTTTTCGTTAATTATTACAAATATCGCCAAACAGTAAAGGACATTCCTTCTTAATTTGAGCCAATCTACCTTCACACTTCGAGACCGCGAAAAGTGTTCAGACACCCTGTATAATTTAACGTTTTTATCGGCAATAATATGAAAGATTTTATTGAAATAATATATTGAGATTAAAATAACTGTACGTAGAACGATGCAATGAGAGAAATTTTAAGAAGAAATATAAATTTTTATAAAACATTGGCTCTTGCCAAGTATACTTGGCAAACTATGCTGTAAGGCTTAATCCAGAAATATTCGATACGTGTGTATATATAATACATATGCTGTATGTATAATAAAAAAGAAAAATCATGAAAAAGTCATGAATTCCATGTATGAGAGAAATCAGGAATTGGGAAATTGTCTAAAATCGAGCTCTACACTACAGTCGTATTTCTCATTGTACATTTGTCAACTGAATTAGTTAGGATACTTGAAATGACGGCCTTAAAATAAAAGTTTATTTTTTTCACGATGATAAATATCTGAGCAAGTGAACGTGTAAATGAAGTGATCTCTAAAGATGATTCGCAAGAGCAAAGGACGTAAAACAGGAAATGCGAGATAGAAAGAGAGGGAGAGAGAGAGAGAGAGAGAGAGAGAGAGAGAGAGAGAGAGAGAGAGAGAGAGAGAGAGAGAGAGAGAGAGAGAGAGAGAAAGTGAGAAAGAAGAGAAGAAAGAAAACAGATATTTCTCTATGAACACGTTAATCCTTTATGAAAATATACATCTGAATCTTTGTAAATATTTTTAAACACTTGTACGTGTCTATATAACTTGTAAGTGTCTATATAAGTGGCATTCTTTGTTCAACAGACATGAGTTACGAAAAATAATAAATAAAAAATAATTATAAGTAACATTTTGTCTAAATATATTCTACATTCTTTAAAATTTTTCTTTCTTCAAATTAATTTTTGTTAATACGTATTAATTATATTAATTGGCTTGTATTAATTGACTTATAAAAAAAGTACGTAATATACAGGGTGTCCCAAAAGTCCCGGACTGGTCGAATATTTCATAAACTATGCACTTTAGAAAGAAATGTTTCAGATAAAAGTTGTATGGCTTGAAGGGGGCCATCAGATAATGGCAATGATTTGACATGGGAGAGTCATTTGAAAGTCACGTGAAGATCACCGTCCATTTCTTAAATGGAACTCCCTATTTTTTATTAAATATTCTGGTAGCTCTGGTCGAGAGCTTTCCAAAACACTATAATTAAGTTAGTTTTCATTAAGTACTTTCAGAATTATGAGGCTTAAATTCATTTCTTAATTTTACATAAACCGTAAAATATATCTTGTAAAATATTCATTTTTCGATTATCTTATTTTAATACTTTTATGTACAAAATAATGAGAGGAATCAATTGATGTAAAGAAAAAACATAGTTGTTTTTAAGAAAAAAATATGTAATTTGCAATTAACAATCACATATTTTTTTAAAAACAACTATGTGTTCTTCTCATTATTTTGTACATAAAAGTATTAAGGTAAGATAATCGAAAAATGAATATTTTACTAGATATTTTATGGTTTATGCAAAATTAAGAAATGATTTCAAGCCTCATAACTCAAAAAGTACTTAATAAAAAGGTACTTAATTATAGTGTTTTGGAAAGCTCTCGAGATAAGCTACAAGAATATGTAATGAAAAATAGGGGGTTCCATTTAAGAAATTGAAGGTAATCTTTATGTGACCTTCAAATGACTATCCAAGGTCAAATCTAAGGTCACCGTCGGATTGCCCGGGAAAAATCCTACAACTTTTGTCTAAAACTTTTTTCAAAATAATCGACTCCAATCGAGATATTATCTTGTCTCAAGATAAATGCCCCACCCTGTATATTTTTTTAAAGTAAATTTTTTCTATCATTACATTATGAAAGATGGAAGTTTATTGACTGTTGCATTAAATGTCGCATTATATAGTTGTATTAAAAAAATATATTAAGTATATGTAAACTTATTTTTAAAAAGATACAAAACAGTCATAAAGCTCGTCTCATTCGGGAATGTAGATTAACATTTTAGAAAATATTGCCTTGATAATTTATCAATTGCGAGACGTCGATCCGTCGATGATGGTGTGCGCTTCAGCATGACGAACGAAAGTACGACAGATTTTCTCTCAGAAGAACAGAAAATAAATGTGTTACGAGGGATTCGCGGCGAACCATTTTTGGAATCCCCACCCACGACACGCGCGCGGTTTTTGTCGGATGGCTTTTCCGTTCTCTTTCCGCTCAGATACTCATCTTGCGCTGCTCGTTCGAGTTAGGTAAGTGCATCATTTCCGATAATACGCTTTTCCTGTGGTGAAAACGTTTTGTTTTTTTTTCTTCTCTCTCTCTCTCTCTCTCTTTGTCTGCCTCTTTGCCTTTTATATGCTTTATGTTGAAACGTGTGGCAGCGATATACGGAATAAGCTCTCATCAGTTAACTAGTTAACTGGAGAACGATCGACGGAGAAGTGTCGACGAAGATGGAGATCGCTGGTTGATGGGATAAATCAACGGAATATATGTCAGAGAGTGGCAAACTAATCAGGCTTATACTTTAAGGAGTTTTAATATCATAATTTTAAGCGGCTTGTTGACATATCTTGCGGCGCCAAAGTAAGTAGTATTTTCAGAATGTAATCCTCTGTGCGCGCGGATAGATCAGATTGTATCAATTATCGAGATGGAGATCGGTGAAAGTTCACGATTAAAAGAGCATTCGTATTTAAAACACGAGGGCCATTAAAAAGTGCAAGAAAATCCCTCAAAATTGCAGATGATTCAATTAGGATTGCACAAGACTCAAACAAGGCACTATTCTAATTGGAAGTAAAAATATTGTATTAATATTGAAAATTAAAAAACTTAAATCTTGTCTTGAATGAATCTTTAAAGCAAAAAATATCGTCTTGTATTATCTTGTCATGATTTTATTAACCATTTTTTATTTAGTATTAATAACTGTTTAAAATAATATTTAATATAATATTTATAACATATAACTTAAGATCATTATTACTATTTATATCATCTGTTTACTTCTGAAAACGCATTAAAAAATCTCGTCTTATTGTTAGATATATAGCGTATGTGATTTTTTCTAATATGATTTACAGATATATATACAGGGTCCCATTTTAATCCATCCAGTGGAATATCCCGAAAACCAAGTCCAAGAGAGAAAAATGTTTCAGATAAAAGTTATATGGTTTCAAGGGTGCCATAAGAGGGTACCATTGGTTTGACCCTGAAGAGTCATTTGAAGGTCATGCAAAGGTTACTTTGATTTTTTAAAATCGAACACCCTATATATTTTTGCATATTCTTGTAGCTCACGTCGAGAGCTTTCCAAAACACTATAATTAAGTTTTTATTAAGTACTTTCCGAATTATGAGGCTTGAAATCATTTCTTAATTTTGCATAAACCATAAAATATCTAGTAAAATATTCATTTTTCGATTATCTTACCTTAATACTTTTATATACAAAATAATGAGAGGTATCAATTGGTGTAAAGAAAACATACAGTTGTTTTTAACAAAAAATATGGAATTGTTAATTGCAAATTCCATATTTTTTCTTAAAAACAACTGTATGTTTTCTTTACATCAGTTAATTCCTCTCATTATTTTGTACATAAAAGTATTAAGGTAAGATAATCGAAAAATGAATATTTTACTAGATATTTTATGGTTTATGTAAAATTAAGAAATTATTTCAAGCCTCATAACTCGAAAAGTATTCAATGAAGAAATACTTTATTATAGTGTTTTGGAAAGATCTCGAGATGAGCTACAAGAATATATAAAAATATATAGGATATTCTATTTTAAAAAATTGAAGTGACCTTCGTGTGATCTTCAAATGACTCTTCAAAGTCAAACCAATGATACCATCTTATGGCCCCCTTGAAACCATACAACTTTTGTCTGAAACATTTTTCTCTTTCGAGCTTGGTTTTCGAGATATTCGATTGGATGGATTAAAATGGAACATTCTGTATATATATATATGTGTATATATATATATATATATATATATATATATATATATATGTACGCGTGTGTGTGTGTGTATTAGTTTTCTTTAAAAGTAATTAATCTTAAACTTGGCATTGTCTGGATAAATAATTAAATGATAAATAAAAAATTGAATTGAATTTCAAGCCAATATCAAGACTAGTCTGTTGATACCTTGTGCAATCCTATTCCATATTATTTTAAATTTGATAGCTTGAAATTAATCCATTTTAGTGATCAATGATCCATCCACATGCATACTATTTTTAACGCTTGATGTTTGTGTGACATTTGGATAAATCCATCTAATCTTTGATTTGATTTATATTCAAATTTAGATGAAGTGACAGACGACGCTTAACTTCTTACAGGAAGTTTACATAATCGATTCATGAAGATCCTCAATGTCTCAGACAGCTTTGCATTTCTAATTGTTCCTAAATAGTAATAGCTTTACTAATGGTTCGAGATAATTTCCTTTCGGGCTTAACATAAAGCAATAGTAGTAGAATCTATAACTATCAACGATGTACGCATTACATGTATTAACTTATTATATTACATTTTGTTGTCTACAATATATGCACTTTTTTAGAACATTATCTGGTTCGCGTATTAATAATGAAACGTACCCGCTAATTTTTTATTTTTAAAAAAATTTTTCTTTGTAGTGAAAGAAATAAGTATAAGATGTTACTGATATGAATGATAAATATAATTATTGGCTTTTGCGGTCTATTAATATCTCCAATTATCTAAAAATATTACATTTAAAAAAATATATTTTGATTTAATTTTACGATAATTAAAAAATTTTTGGAATAAATTAAAAATAATTTAGTTTTGATTTCTTTTCTTTCGTTTTTACTTGCTATATTTTTTTTATTTTCCGCAACATAGATATATATATATATATATATATATATATATATATATATATATAGCAGGAGATAGCTTTATACATTGAAAATCAATATAAAATATTATATTGTTGTAGACTACTTTCTTAACGGTATTTCTGCTTTAACGTCTTTCATGCAGATATTGAACATCGTTTTAAATCTTCCCTGTTTAACTCCGATTATTTTATATCGTACTATAAAATTACGAGTAATATTAAAAATAAATTTTCATAATAATGTCTGTTTTACAAATTGTGCAATATTATTTTTCGCGTTTACATAACATTCTCATGTAGTTTGTCACAGAAAGGTATTTTTTAAAGGGATCTTACGTTTTCTGGAAATGTTATATCCCCGCGAAATGAATTTAATTTACTTAAAAAAATATTTTGTTATTGTAAATAGATTTCTAAATAAATCTATCAATACTTTTTGTACTTGTTAGACTTGTAATATATAAAATTTAAATAGTAGCAATTCTAATAATGCCTTCTGGCAAATTTAAATCCCATTAAGTCCCACTAAATCTGCATTGGATAAATATTATCATTATAATTAATTGGATAAATACAAGTTTTGATATTAGTTAGAACAGTTTTTATGAAAAATTATTTTTTTGTATACCATAGTTAAATTTTACAACAAATATTATTAGCCTTAATATAGAAAAACTTTATTTTTAAATTTCACTAATAATTCAGATATAAATTCTCTCTCTATCATTTAGATTAATTAAGTACAAAGCATATGTGATATTACAGCATTTGCTAATTATTTATCTATCTGAATTAATTTTCTGCATCTAAAAAATTATTACTGTAGTTGCAAGATTATTTTTTTGAATGTTCACGATCCGTAAAATCCGCACGAAGGAGTCACAATTACGGAGGGGTCACTAAAGTCTTGTGACATTAATATTTATTGTTAGATCGAATGTTGTAATTAAGTAAAGTCTGTTTTTCTGAGTTACACTCATTACGTTTTGGTCTCTTCTTGCGTCGCTACCGCATTAGAATTCCGTCGTCATTATAGCACATATTTATAGAATTGGGTTGTAGATGCTATTTCCGTAGACATCTTGATACATGCTCTTCTTCGTGCTTACGCGATCAGTCGCGAATTATGGGCTTTGCAGAATTCGATAGTGCAGGATTTACGATGGTTCACGAGTACGTATATGTTCAGAAATGCAACTTTCGACACAAACCTTCGATTCAATCTCAAAGGCAAAAGCTTGAGTCATTCATGACGATTGATATAGAATTTGACAAGAATGTTTCATTTTCAGGAAACTCTATAATTTCTTTAGGACAGTTCTCAAAATAAAGTCGTCGTCAAGAAGAAAATGCAAACGATGAAGCTTGGGAAAGACAATGCCATGGATAAGGCCGACACCCGAGAAGGGCAGGCAAAGGAAGCGAATCTCTCGTGTTCTCGAGAAAATTGCGGAACTCACGAAAAAATTAGCTCGAGTCAAAGATAATATGGAGGCCAAAGCAAGTTATTGAGCAAGCTAACAGAAAGCTCAAAGATCGCGAGAAATCTCTTATCAAAGTAACGTCAACGTAAGTTTTTTTTGAATGTACATAGAGGATGTTTGGCAGGAAATCGACAAACTTCTGGAATATCTTCTTTATTTTAAGAAAAAAAGTTGAAATCTTTTGATAAATTAGGAGATAGATACAGGATACAGTTAACAAAAATTAAATTTTCCCTACCTCGATAATCGAACCGAATTAATCTATAATGTATATGGACTATTTGCTTATAATGAACTCTAAAATACACTACTAAAAAAAAATGGGAACACTTTTTGTACCCTAAAAATTGAGCTATTTTCAAACCGCTGAAACTTGTTGAAAAATCATTGTAGACAAAAAATTAAAAAAGCATTTTGAAGTTTCAACTTTAACGCAGTTGGTGGTTTTATAAAAATTTTTTACCTTTCTTATTTTGCGCTTTAAAAAAGAACACAATGTTTAGTTCCTTGAAATTATGTATTTTTAACATGGCGCAACTTGATAAAAAAATTTTTCTTGAGAAATTCAACTAAAATTTCATAACAATACTTTTTAGATATGACGTCGATACTCGGCGAAAAATCATCGTAGACAAAAAATATTTTGAAATAAAAAAAGTATTTTGAAATAAAAAAAGTATTTTGAAGCTTGAAATTTCAACTTTAATCCATTATCGTTAGTTTTTTAGATTTTCTTGAAAAGTTTCTCGAAAAGTATCTCGAAAGTTTTCTCGAAAAATTTTTTAATTATATCTAAAAAGTACTGTTTATTTTCAAAATCATGTTATTCGACCAAAAAAATCGTAGGAAAATTAAAAAAGTGTTTTGTAGGAAAAATGTTGTAATTTATGGAATTTGAGTTGAATTTCTCGAGAAAATTTTTTTTAACAAATTGCAGCGTGTTAAAAATACATAATTTTAAGGAACTAAACAGTGTGTTCTTTTTTAAAGCCCAGAATAAAGAAGATAAAATATTTTTTAAAAATCACCAACTACGCGTTAAAGTTGAAACTTTAAGCTTCAAAATGCTGTTTTAATTTTTTGTCTAGTCTGCGATGATTTTTTGACGAGTTTCAGCAGTTTGAAAATAGCCCAATTTTTAGGATACAAAAGTGTTTTTTTTTTTAATAGTGTATATTCTAGAAGTTTATTAGTCGGTTTTCTCACGGAACATTTTGTATTATACTTTCGACTTTTTTTTGTACTGTTGATCACATTGCCTTGGTATTTTATACTAAACATTATGAACAATTAAAATCTAACGTTAGAGAGAATGATAATAATAAGTCTATAATTGATGAAAATTCTAATTTTCATGCATTTAATTCTTTTAGGCTAAATGCAAAGTAGCCTAGTCCTTAATTGCGAAGTCTAGTTCATTGAAGAGGACTTTGAGCGCTCGGAGGAATAATTAAACACGACGATCGCTAAATTGACTGAAGTTTCGCAGACCGCCGATAAACCCAGTCGGTAATTATACACTAATCAAACTGCGCGTGGTGCCTTAATATATATTGAAATATGTGACAGTATAATTGCAGTATGTGTAAAGTATTGGAAAATCGTGCATAATAGGACAAGAAGAGGATGGACCAATTAATGAATCAAGAAAGTTCACCTACTTGTGCAAGATGCTAATCTGATGAAAAATCTGACGAAGCGCAAGCTGGTCTTCATTGAAGACGAGCTCGAAGGATCAAAAAAGGATGTGAAATTCTAGGAAAATAATAAAGGATGTGATAAAGCGTAAGATAATTGTGTTAATATGCTTAATGTGAAAATAAAATTTAGGCAATTATACAATTTCTATCTTCTACTTTCGCAATAAAATCATGGAACTGGAAGAAGAATTGAAAGTCGTAACAGTTTGAAATTTTTAGAAGTATCTGAAAAAAGTATAGTATGATTGTTAATGTAAACAGTAGTATATTATATGTCTATTTCGCTAGAGAACAAGTTCTCTATTCTCTTTCCGAAGAAAATATGCTAAATTTGAAAAATTTGAAAAATACTGATCTATGCAAATTTCTATAAATATTTTTAGACCAATCAATGAATCAAAAAATACAAATGCCAATTGAAAATCTTGATCATAAATTGAAGGAGGCTGAAGTCTGCGCCGAGTTTGATGAGAAGATCAAGAAATTTCAGAAGAAGGACAATTCGAAGGTTTATTTTACTGAAAATATCTTTTGTTTTCCTCTCTCTTGTACAAAAGTGAAGAAAATAAAATCATATTACGTTTCTCCCTTAGATGAATTGAGTATCAACAAGGACAAGTCGCTGGTCGATGAAGTGGACTCGACGTTAGCCGAATTGGCAAGCTATGAGATTATTTTACTATTATACTTCGCGTATCTAAGAATAGTTTCAATTTCTTGATTAAAAAGTCGATATTTTATGTTTCCGCGAACAATATTACAGTTGGACGTCATCGTTCGATGAAAAAAAGAGACACAACTAAAGGATATGAATATCATTCACTATTCACGCTCCTATCTTTATAATTAATGTTATTATTATGATGGAGTTTTATCAATGTGAGCGAATCATAATCAATTCTATTCTTTACATTGTGTACAAAAGATTAAGAGAAATTCAATAAAGAGTAATGTAAAATCGATAAACTGATACAAGAGTGCATAGCAATCTACGCTAAGCAATCAATATTTTTATACATTATTTTCCTACAATTTCACACATAATGATGCAAAATATTAATTAAATATAATTAAATATAAAAACTCTTTGAGAAACAATTGTTATCTCTCACGACGTTTATTATTTCTTAATAATTTAATAAACGTATATGCAGAACGTGTATCGTGTTTTAATGACACATAAATCTAGTAGTGCATATTTTGTACTAAAATTTCCAAAATCGACCACATTTTATTATTACTATTATCTCCCTTGTTTATTATGTACATGTAAATGAGAATCATAAGTAGCACAATTTTTGTGCAATCTATGGGATTTATACTGATTTAGAAATTTTTACAAAAACGCACAACAATGATTTTAATGACCATGTACATATAATTAATATTGTAGCGATTAGATCGAACTCGGACACAATTGTTGTTATTATTATTATTATTATTATTATTAATATACATTATGCACTGTTTGAATGTAATTATCAAAACAAGCAAATGATATATTTACTGATTCAGAGCTAAATACAATGCGGTTAAATGAGATGCAATCACAGTGAATAATACTTCATTTTACGATATATAAAAAGTGTGAGATCTTCATATAGTAACACGAATATTATATACATGAGAGAAAGAGAGAGTTTTGGATTGTAAACGATTGTATTTTTAGCGCTAATAATGCTACAACAGTGCAAAGATGGTGCGAATTTACAATTACAAAAAGTAAGAAATTGTGTGATTATGCAACAAAACGAACTGAATATTATGGATGCTTTCCAATTGTTTAACACATCTTAACACAAATGTGCACAGAAAACCACAAAGGGTAACGAAGTGTGCACGATTCAATTGAAACAAATTAGCAATGATATCTAACCTACAAAAATAAATATTGGCTTTATTCATTAAATATATTTAATCTATTTGGTTCCATATTCTGAGTCTTCTTTTATCGAGTAAAAGTATTTCTAAAAGTGATTTGTTGCCAATCAGAGGATTTATAAGCCATTTTTAGAAGCACTTTTATAAATAAAAGAAAACTCGGAATTTGGGTCATTATACAAGATAATTCGAATTACTTATTATTTCAATGATTAATATTTTCGCAATCCATGTTACATTTTTTGTTAAGTAAATATTAAAAATAAATTTACTACTTGTTGTTTTCCGCTTCCGAAAAGCGCATATGTGCGTATTTACAGTTGCTGTTATTTGTCACTAGAAAACACATCCAAATAAATAATGTAATATAACATAATATGAGAGAATATAATCTTCTGCGTAGCCATATAATTATGATTATATGATATTTCTACAATTATTCTTGGCTACGCAGCAAATATATAAACTTTTATGATTGAAGAAATATTATATAATTATAATTATAATTATGTAGCTACGTAGAAAATTCTCTCTACATTATGTTATATTATTGTTGTATTACTTATTATTATGATTATGCTGCAAAGAAACATAATTATTATTAATAAATAATACAACAATAATATAACATAATGTAAGAAAGAATCTTCTGCGTAATATAATTATGATTATAATATTTCTGCAATCATAGAAATTTATATATTTACTGCATAGCCAAGAATGATTGTAGAAATATGATATATAATCATAATTATATGGCTACGCAGAAGATTACATTCTCTCATATTATGTTATATTACATTATTTATTATTATGACCATGCTGCAAATAAAAAGAATTGTTATTAATAAATAATACAACAATAATATAATATAATGCGAGAGAAACCCTTTGCGAAGCCATAAATGATAATATGATGGTATGATATTTCTGCAATCATTCTTGGCTATGCAACAAATATATAAATTTCTATGATTGTAGAAATACTATATAATCATAATTATGTGACTATGTAGAAGATTTTGTCTCGCATTATGTTACATTATTATTTTTATTATTGTAGCTATGCAAATATATAAATTACTGTTTAAATAATATACTTATATAAAGATAATTGTATACAATTTATATGTATTATATTTATAAATATGGATAATTTTCTACATAACTGTATTTCTTACACATAAATTTATATATTTGTCTACATAATTATAATTATACAGCTATAGAGAAGTTTATATATTTGCTGTATAACTATAATTATTATTATATATTTAAATCTAAATATTATTATTATTACTTCTCTCTCTCTCTCTCTCTCTCTCTCTCTCTCTCTCTTTCGTGATACATTTATTAATAAAAATATTACAGAATACTTGAAAGATTGCAGAAATACTTAGAAAAAGGCAAGGCATATTGAAATCGCATCGTAAATAATTATTGTTTATTATTATTATATTCTGTGTTACATGTTAGATGATAATAATGATTAAAACTATACATATGTATAGGATGAAAAAATATGAAGATAAAAGAAGAATAGCGGCGCATGATGTTATATATATATTGGCTGCATGATTGCGCCGTACTCATAATGTGCATATTGGCAGCAATATTGCGCCTTACTATCTGCGAAGAGGAATCGAGTAAGAAAAGATCATCGATAGACTATATATCCAAATTATAGTCATAACAAGAATAAAAGACAGAAGAATTTTAAGAAGAAAGAAGATAATTATTTGTAATAATAAACAGCATAATTGCACTACATATACTAGCCGCATGATTGCGCCGTACTCATAATGTGCATACTGGCAGCAAATTGCGCCTTACTATTTGTGAAGAGGAATGAAGTAAAAAGACAGATATATAATATATCAAAATTATAATGACAACCCAGAATAAAGGAAAGAAGAAGAACAGAACATTTAAGCAAACAGAAGAAAATTATCCTTAATTAATTATTCATTATGCTTATGCGTGTATACAAATTTAGTTGAATAGGATTTTATTGGGTTTTGAGCGGCAATATGTTTAGCGGCATATATACAGAGTTTTTAAAAGAATGAAATAATTAAAAAACATTTTTGAAGAAAAAAATACTCCCGACTGCTACTAACAAAAGTACAATATTTAAATCATTATAAAAAAAAAAGTTTCATAAATAAAAAGAGTTTAATGATAAATAATAAATTAAAAAGTAGATATAAAATAGTAAAAGAGAACATAATAAGTAATAAAATAAAAAGTAAAACAAATAAAAATCTAAAATAAATAATAATTAAATGAATAAAACATATAAAAAACATATAATAATCTTAAATATAATTGGAATAAATAATAATTATAGATTATAAAGATTATATTCTCTTTTTAGAATCAAAATTTTAGTTATCTCGAAAAAAAAAACAGATATATAAATTTGTAAACATTTTATATTACTATGTCGATTTCTATGCAGGTTTTGCATATTTGTAAAAAATTTGTCAGCAATCGAATAAAGTGATATGAATTTTATGAAATTAGTAAAGCTCTAAATGTGGAATATAAATTTAAATTTTTCGAACTAGGAAGAAAAAGTGAAATGCGGATAATAATTATAACCTCGGTTTTAGAGAAAATTAATTTTTCTTTTAAAATAAATCGTTGTACATCGAATATATTTCTTTCCTCGATGCGATAAATAACGAAGTCTTTATTTAAGATTTTTATTAAAATAAATAATCTCTAATCCCTATAAAAAAGCGTAGGAGAAAAAATATCGAGATGAAGTTGCTGAAACAAAAATGAAATCATACTCCTATTATACTACGTGTTCTATTACATTATGTGCATAGTGTTGCACCATATTTTACTTAACAATTCTTATGTCTGCAAAAAATGTTTATAAGTAATATTTTGTAACTCTTGACAAATAAAAATTCAGAATTTAGAATTAGCGATTTTAAATATAAAATTAGAAATTTATAAGAACTATGGCTATCACAGAGAAATTATCATTATATTATAATATTATAATTGTTATATCTAGCAGGCCATTTTTTGTATTAATTGTTGTATTAATATCATTATCATAGTTTTAGTTTAACAAATGATTCATAATATTAGAGAGAGTATGCTAATCACATTATCTAATAACTCTCTCAATCATATTGAAAAAATATTTAAATCTATTTAACTGGAGCTATTTAACAAAAGCTATAAATTCATAATTAACATTTTCATAATTAACATTTCTCAAAGCTATAAATTCTCTTTTTAAAATTTATATAAATCCATTTTTATTAAGATTACTAAAATTTCCAAAGAAACTTCCTAAGAAATTTCCTAAAGAAATTCTCTTTCTCTTTTGGTTTTGCTTGCTCCCATATTCTTTCTCACTCTTTTATTTACTAAAAATTATAATACATTACTAAGAAAAAATAGGAAACACTTTTTGTATCCTAAAAATTGGGTTATCTTTAATCCGTTGAAATTCGTCGAAAAATCATTGTAGACAAAAAATAAAAAAAGTATTTTGAAGCTTTTTATCTTTCTTATTCTGCACTTTAAAAAAGAACACATTGTTTTTTTAGTTCCTTAAAATTATATATTTTTAACACATCGAAAAAGTTTTTCTCGAGAAATTCAACGAAAATTTCATAAACTACAACATTTTGTCTGAAACGCTTTTTATCAAAATGCTTTTTTTAAAATTTTCCTATGATTTTTTTGATCGAATAATATAATTTTGAAAATAAACCAGTATTTTTTAAATATAATGAAAAAATTTTTTTAGAAAAATTTTTTTATCAAACTGCAAAGTGTCAAAAATACGTAATTTTAATAAACAAAACAATGTCTTTTTTTAAAGCATGGAATAAGGAAGATTAAAAATTAAAAGAACTAACGATAGCGTTAAAGATGAAATTTCAAGCTCTTTTAAAATGCTTTCTTTATTTTTTGTCTACGACTATTTTTCGCCAAGTATCAACATCGTATCTAAAAAATGCTGGTTTATTTTTAAAATCGTATTTATTATTTATATTACTCGGTCAAAAAAAGTTGGAGAAAAATTTTTAAAAAAGCTTTTCGCAGGGAAAATGTTGTAATTTAGAACTTGAGATGAATTTGAGAAAATTTTTTTTAAATATTATATCGTCTTATGTAACGACTCCCGTGG